AAATAAATAAGAAAATACATTTTTCAGTAGTTAGGTCTTTGATAAATCTAAGCCAGCAAGAACTGTAGGTATACTAAAAAAAAAATAATAACAAAGAATATTTACTTCCTTATAAAATTAATATTTTGTTTGTATTGGTCACATAAACAAACTAATCTTTTAATATTATTGCTAAAACCTTAACTTTTATCTTTAATAAGTGTTTTATATAGTATTGTATAGTTGATTTGAAACTTAACAACTATTAAATTACAATTTAATATTTGATGACAAAATACTGAAACAATTTCAATATTGAGAATATCTCCAAGTGTTACATAAACAATATTACAGAACACTAAAACTTTACGGATTTTGAATCCTGAAATTCTATAATTTACTATTTAACAGTATTGCTATAAATTACAAACGATTGCCTACTTTTTAAACTGGTAAACAGTTTTTTATCACTTAGTAGAAAAGCATTTAAAATTTATTTATGTTACAAACAAAACAAATAACTGAAACGAGAATAGTTCTCTTTATAGTTATAAATATGAAGAAGAGTAGTTGGTTTGTACATGTTCTTTTTACAAATCAATAGCCTACTAATACTTAAGTATAAATACATTTAACGACTACAACATTTCATTGGTAGGAATAAGATGACGAGGTAATCGATATAAACTATATGGATGACATTCAACAGGAATGTAGACTTTTAAGCTATCAAATAATCTCAAGCGATCTAATTGTGTAGAACACTAAATTGGCTTGGCTATAGCGAAATCACAGCAAAGTGTTCCCGCTATATCCATTGTGTAAAGCTCAGCTATGCAGTGCATATTTACAAATTAGCTTATATTACTATACAAGTTCAACTATTTACAAAAATTACAAAACTTAAGTTAACTATAGGATAGTAGCTGAGCTGTACCATTACAATTATTTTGTGTGATTCAGTGAAAAAAGTGGAATGTTTTGAGTAGCTTGGAATGATTTATTTCCTTTATGTACTGAACTGCTAAACTTTTTTTATGAATTACATTTTTTCGGAATTTTTTTGTATTGAAGCAGTGTCGGGATTTAAATATTTGCAAATAAGTTGAAATAATTTTGATTTAGTTAAATAACTGTGCTAAAGATAGCTGGTTTGCTTACAAAACAATTTTCCTATACAAATTTGATGGATATTTATTCAATCAGCTGTTTAGGTTGCCCCAATGTTCATGTTATGTTTGCAGCTAGTGCAGTTCAGTTGTTGGTTTTGTTTTGATATAGAATGTTTTTGTTATCAAAACAAAACTATATCAAGACAAATTTTGTGTTTGATTTATGTGTATGAAGTTAATAAAATAAACCTAAAAGAGTAAACTGAAAAACACTGTATTCTTTGAAACCAACAATGAGTAAGATATGCACAAACAATTATGACAACCAAATCAGCTGATTAATAAAATAAACAAATGTATAATTAATTGTTAGGAAATTGACAGGAAAGCAGGCTAAACATTTAAATAAGTCTATCACATATAAAACAAAACACAAAAGTAGAAATATTTCTGGCCAGTGACCTAATTATTTTTACTTTTGTGTTGTTTATATGTGTCTATGGACTTATATAAAGGTGAGCCTGCTTTCCCGTCAATTTCCTAATAATTCCTGGCAAAACCTTTTTTTATCAGATAAATATAAAACTAAATTTACCAAATTTCATTGATATATTATGAATATACTATGATGGATCTTATCAACAAATCTACAATCAGTAAAATTCATTTTAAAATCTTCATAAAGTTTTTGAAACCAAATAGTGTAAAAAATTGATCTATTACAAATCATTATTGTAACAACAATGAATTCAAATTAAAACATTTCCTATTACATACAAGCATATGGTTTTACAATTTTAGAACTATGTGAGGCACACACAATCTTTACAGAAAACTTGTCAAAAATAAATATCTTTACATATAACGCAGATGTTCACACATAATAGGGTGATGTTGAAGAAACACATAAAGGAATGTCAGTGAGTTTTATGTGTTGTACCTATGTCAGACACTGGACGAACCACATAATATTGTGGATACTATCTTAAAAAACTTCTTAAGTTTTTCAACAGAGTATTTAATAACAGTAAGCAATTAAAAAAAAGCAAGTTTTGCAATCTTTTAGGGGAAACAGCATAATTTCGAATTTATCAACGATTTCAAGTAGTAATATTTCTGTATGATATATTTTTTAACAACAATGTAATTTTATTAGGTATTCTAAATTGAAGTTTAAAGTTTACCAAATACTAAACATAGCCTTTTTTAGGGTGTTTACCTCTTTTCACCTTGCACAAGTGTGAAAAGCATGAAACATTGATAAAGGAGTGAGTCAGTACACTAGCAGCATAAACTTTAGACAAAAGATTTTAGTGGAAAAATCAGGATGTGAACTCACAAAATCACTACCACGGTTTTGCGGTCTACAGAAGAATTAAAATTAGTAGTTGTACCAACTAAGCTAAGTTTTACTGGTTCACCTTAAATGGAAATTTTTTAACTTTTTTCACCCAGTTTTAATGTGTCATCATTCTATTTTTATACGTACAAAACTCTACATTCACAAGGCTCTCAGACTATTTGTTTTCATTCCATCAATTCTATTTTACTATTTACGCCAGATTACTCTATAATAGGCAAGCATGTTTCTTGAAATCCTTTTCTCTCAGCTTGTTGCATCGCAGGGAAAATCTACGCATACTCTTAGAAATATTTTCCTGTAGATGTGCAGAATCCCTTTATAAATTAAAATAGTCGCAAAAATAAGCACAAAAATGAATTTGAAAAAAAATTAACATGTGCCTTATGGGTTGTCATGCTGGTTACGAAATAACAACGAAATAACGAAATATAAAGAGAAAATCAAAACCAATGGAAGAAATTCCAATCACATGTTTTATTTACAGCGTGGGGTGAAAATAGAGAAGTCTGTACATTAGGTACATATTTTTGGCAAGTTATCGGCGTTTTTGACTACTGGATGACATCTAGTTTCACTAAATAACTGAACGTGAAAAATTCTCTTTTGTACTTTTTTGTTCTATCAACCTGCTTGCAGTTTTAACGAGTGAAATTTGTCAAAACAGATATCTGAATACCACATCAAATTGCTTTGTCACCAGTTACATTTTTTAATATTAAATACAATACATATTTTTTGAAATGTTTTCTCAGTGAATGACACAGGTACAACTACGATGAAAGTGTGCTTTGCAAAGCTTTGTCATGGACGCAGTGAAGCCTAGCCTATTTAATACTACAATCAGTCTTATATGGCCACCCCTCAGATGCCCTTCATTTACATGTTTATAGTTTTAACAGCAGAATTAGTATAATTATGTTAGGTAATACACTTACACTGTACATTGACCAGGTAACATTACACGAGGTTTGTGCAGAACATTTGCTTGAGGTTCACTTTCCGTAACCGAAAACCACCATGTTCAGAGAAATGGTCTAGAAATTTTTGAGAAATGGAAATTTTGAGTAACAGTTTGAATTGGATATTTTACATCCAAAATAAGTATAGGAAAATCGTACATCAATTTTGTGGATGTACAAAGGAATGAATAATTTGTTTATAAGAAAGTATGGGGAAGAACTTGCTTTGGGGTCAATATATATATTATGTTATATTTTGCAGTTAAAACACTTTAAGGGGACTGTGACCGTAAAAATTATCAACAATTGACATTTTTATTTTTTGGTCTTTTATTATTAATTAAAATCTTCTGATTACAACGGTATAATTATTTTTTTCCTAGCTTGACTGGAAGTTAGAAAAAAAATAAAAGAAAATGTTTTTACCCGGTCTCATAGCAACAAAACATTGTTGAGTTACCTTGCACATGGGCCTACGTTTTCTGCGATTCCCGTAAGTTAGCTTTTTATAACTTTGATGTCACTTTTCTCAGCTATCTGTAGGACTAGAGTATCCAAATTTTTACCACATTTTTTATACTTAATATACTAGTTCCTCCCAGAAGGATTTTGATTTATTACACCCACGAGTCGTAAAAAAAAATTTTTTTGTACTAAATTTCTAGGAAAAAAATTGTAATTTTTTGAAAATTAAAAAAAAAACACTTGGTGTCAATATATTTTTTAAATCTTCTAGGAGGAACTAGATAAACATATGGCCTTTAAAATAAAAAAAAAATTAAGGCTCTACCTGTCATAGTCCTCTAGATATGTAGCATATAGATAACATTATATAAGATAGGCAGTCACAGTCCCCTTAAGGGATTTAGGCTTGGTTGCAAAAAATTGTACAAACAAGACATTATTAAATAGTATATTTCGTACCTAGGGCCGAAAATGAGGTTTTGCCGGCTCGAGATAGTTTTTAAGTTCGAGACGAAGTCGAGAACTTAAATCGAACGAGAGCCGCAAAACCATTTCGGTCCGTGGTACGAACGCTATTTTTCACCACACGTTACCCTATTACCACTATTCACCACTATAATAATGCACACTGATAGTCAACACAACTACAACTATAAGGTTATGTGAAGAAATAATTTGAGGAATCAGCAAAAATAAAAATAAATAGTTGCTAGGCAACGGTGACAATAACACAATTCTATTGCAATGCTATGGATTTTGATTGTGTATTTAAAACGCATTCATGTTTTAAGTAAGTAAGCGGACAGCTGATTTTGCGGCCCCGGCCTGTAAAAACCTGCTCGGTCCCCAAATTACGATGACAGCTGGCATGGCCAGCAAAACGTAACTTTCAGCCACCAATTAACGTATGTAATACAACCAAAAACATCATAGTGTGGTGAAAAAATAATATGATTTATGTTATTTGGGAAATTTGTTTCTCAAACTATATGTTGTGAATTATTTTACCTAGGTATATATTTTGAAGCCAGAAAATACAATTCCTTAGCATTTAACAAATTATAAATATTTTTTACACTGTGAAATATAAAATCTAGACTTCAAACAATATAATTTCTAGGTAAAAAAATATAAAAAACAAAATATTGTGACCGAAAAAGATATTTTTTTATAGTTTAATTTTAATCAATTTGGGTTATTTACATTAGATTTCGCAATGAATTTTGTTTGGAATATTCCTTTAAGGCTTAATATTTTCCATACAAGTTTTTAAGATTGGGTAAAACAGTTGATATCAAACTCTTGGATGCAAAAGTGGAAAAAAAGTACGGTAAATAAATTTTTCAGAGTTTTTTTCTAAGTTTTCAATTCAAAACAATTTAAGTTTTACATCCTATTTACGTTGCTCATGCTTAAACATCATTTACATTAAAAGATTTGGAACTCATTGAACAGAGAATAATTTCATTGTTCATGTATTTTTGAAGCATAAAACTTCATTTTTTAACCTACATTGTTAATATTTTAGAATTGTTTGTACCCGTGTTTTCTCTGCATATAGTGGACGGTTACGAGAAGTGTGCAGTTCTACGGAGCACTAGTCTCAATTGTTGTTTCTGCAAGATTGGCAACATTGGGTCTGGTACCTCTGCATACGACACATGTTCATTACCCGAACATTCTCACAATACTTGGACTGGTCCTTGCACTCGCCTGCTGTAAACAGACAATACAACAGTATGTATACAAATGAGTGAGGATAGAGCTTTGAACGTGTAAATACTGGCTAACAAGAGGTTATAGGACTGATTCCAACTAACCCAAGCATTAAGTAGGCAAGAAGCCTTTAGAGAGCTTATATTTTCAAGATGCAAACGGTAGAAAGCTGCTTGAGATTCTGAAACTTCAGTGCCAACGTTGATAATACAATCTTTTGGTAATGGAAGTATGTGAGTAATGGCGGATATCCAAAGAGTCATCACTCAGAATTTAGTCAGAATAATGATAGCGGAAGCGTTCTACGATTAGAATGGAGGGAACTAAGATAGATCACAGGAATGGTCATGGGTCATGGCATCCTGAGATTGCACCTACATCGCTATCATCATCCACAATCGAGACACACTGCATATAGGAAATATGGGTGGAAATCATTATACTCTATGACTGCACAGCTCTGAATAAGGTAGGGGAAAGCACTATTTGAAATATGACGAGGAAGCAGACACCTTCCTCAAGAGAGCTCGTAGAAAGGTTGCAGTTCATCAAGCAACTCAGGTTTGACGGGTTCTGATGCACCAAGCAAGGAAGATCAAAAGCCAATTTGTAGCTGATCACTCTCACCCAGGATATTGTAGCAAAGCAAAGCCAAAACAACATTTACGGGGTCAAGACTCACTCAACAATGTAGTGACAGTTGTATTTAATATGCCACACCCATCTACATCTGAGTGCTAAGTGGGTTAAAATGACTCTTATAATAGTGAGTTGCTAAGAAAAAGTGTTTATGAAAATGATCTATTACTAGATGCATTCATTTAACAGCTTTCAACCTTGACTTACCTGATGAGCATGGAGGACCTTTACATATCTTCATGACAGAGGGTCTAGGCTGATCTCTACAAGCGTTGCCAGCTGGTTTTTTGGTACCGTACCAGACGCACTGCAGAATCCGGTACTTGACACCTTGCTGCTCGCACGGTGCCGCACACTGAAACAGCAGGTTTGTTCATGACAGGATGTGCATTAGCAAATTTGGCAATAGCCGTTCTGAGGAATCTGTATAGGACAAAATAAGCTTTCAAAATTATTAATTTTCATGTAGTTATATGCCTTATTTTAATATTTTTCCTTGATCTTATAAACAAAAAAGTCCCCAAAAGCTCTGTGTAGGTAGATAGGATTTCAGTATAGTACTAGACTAGTGAGCACAAGAGTTGTTGTTCTGTGTTCGCTATACTCACAGACCACGATATCTTGAAACTTAAAGGGTAAGGGTAAAAATTTGAGATACTGAGGTCGAGGTGTTAGTTAACTGATACTGATGTTAGTTAATTACCTTCATAATTTGACCCTATTTAAGCTATTACAAGATGACAATATTCATACTGTACAAAATTACCTCTGACCACTCTCCGACTTTCCAAGTCCCTTTGCATTTATCATTGTAGCACTCTTTCCTCTGGATCGGCCTCTCCACGTCTATGCAGTGTTTTGAATCTACCTCAGTGTTGTTTGACGTTCTACAAGTGATGTCCCGCTTTTGCATTGCTGTTGACATCATAACATTACAATGGGAAATTATATTTATTGCCTGTTTATTAAGATTTAGAGTAGGCCTACTGTAAGTAAAACATATCTTTCAACAACAATAATGGTATTCCAAAATACACAACAATAAATAAGTTTGAGTAATGATAGCAGAATCTTAACTCTAAAACGAGGCTACAATACATTGGATCCCAATTAATACTCCACTTCTCAGCCACCCAGCGGAGGCACGGTTCTGCCCCACATTTCTGTACAGTGATGGGGGTCTCTAGCCCAGAGTCCACACATAGGTAATCTAGCTTTACTCACCAGTGTCCCAGGTGAAGCAGCGAGACTCATGGCAGGAGCTCCACTCCTCTGCTACCCAGCGGGGGCACGGTTCAGCCCCACACTTCTGTACAGTGATGGGGGTCTCTAGCCCAGCATCCACACATAGGTTGCTGTCTACATCTTGTGTTGCGTTGTGCAGTCGCACCATGCAGTGTGCTTTCCTTATCTGCGAATACACAAATCTTAGTTGTTGTTGTTAATGACAAATTATATATTTCTTTTGTCACCTTATTTCTACTGGTTTTGTTGTGATCTGAATCCATTGGATAAACTTATGGTAACAGTTACTTCGGAATATGATGGAGATAATCTGATAATCCAGTATTAAGATAGTACAGGCAGCTGTCTTAAACCAATAGCAATCAGAGTTATCAGCCCAATACAATTCCATTGATCTAGATGTTCACTAATGTAGTAGTAATCATAGAATTTTCACTATGGCAATGCTTATGAATTTTACAATTTATTAGTACTACTAAGAATAAATTTTACCTGGAATCCATTTCCTCCACAGGTTTGGGAGCATGCAGACCATTCACTTATCAACCAGTCGAACTTCACATTTTCAGGACTTCCTGTGGATCAATCATAAATTTGTAGCGATTATTTTGATTTCAAACCATATAAAGGGGTTTTAAATGGAAAAATCCTGGTATTATATACAAGTATGTATAATACAAGCTTGTTTTCTATTATAGTAAAAACATTTATTCTTTTATTTTTTATACCTAGTTTTGATATTGTAGATCTGTGAACTCACAATCAAAGTTATCAAGGACTAATGCCACAGAGAAGTAAGCTACAAAAGAAACATGCTAATTGTACGATCGTGTGCTTTCAGCTCTATCTTATACCAGAAATATACTTGTGATGAGTAAGGAAGAGCCCTAGCAGCGAGCTCTGTGCAAATTTTTTTGTCGTACAGGGCACAGGGCCTCTTTCCCCCTCGAGCGTTGTTGTACATGAGGGCAAAGGGGTCAGGGGTAGGTGGTTAGACTTTACCCTAGACACCTGTGACTAGTACTAGACAGTAGACACCACTTAGACAAGTAACATTGAATGTTTTCTTGTACCTTCTCTGTGCTAAAGCCCAATAGTAAATAAAGTACATCTGCTAATGAAACAGAGGTGAAAAGGGCAGAAAAAGAGATCTCTTTGTCAAGTACAACAACTAGTTAAGTCCAATACTCGATAACACAATTTTTAATACGGTATTCAATCTGAGACCATCTATCATTGACAAATAGAAAATGCTCTACAAATCAGCATTGACTTGCGAATCCCTATTGATTTTATTGTCTGGTTTGTATCAGAAGTTCAGTTGCAGTCATTTACACACAAATGTGCTGAACAATATTTTACACTTCTGTTCAATTTACTACAGTAGATGTGCATAAATTAAAAAGCACAAATCTGAAACAACTACCTTGAGGAGCACCTCTGCAAAGCTGATTTAAAATCTCACTCATGGTTTTGGTTACCTGTAGTTGGGACTTTAAATAAAACTGAAACCAATAAATCACTTTTTAACTGCAACTGCAACCGCAGACCATAATTTTTTCCATATACTAGTTGCTGATAAAAGCTTTGAGCATTTTACAGTTGAAGAGGAATAAGTAAAATGATACCTTCACATAATCAATGACTCTACACTACTACTTGATCAGAACAATTTCCGTAGCTCAACATTTTATCATCAGGTTACATTTCAATTACCCATATTTGCTTAGAAACCACACCTTTTCCGAGGACAACAATAGACGAGTCCTCCGTCGTTGACGTTTCCCCTCCGAAGTCCGTTGTTGTGACGAGGGGAGGCGGAGGAGGGGCTTCTTCCATCACCATCCGATGGCCCCGGGAGTTCCCAAACGTCTGGAACGGCCAAAGGGTCTACGTTTTTTATTAATTTGGAACTTTGAATAAAGGCAGTAAGCTAAAACAGACTAGATTACACAAAGTAGCAGTATGGCTTAACTTAGCTGAGCTACAGCATAGGAACTACAAGCTTTGATGATTGATAGTAGACATCTCATTATTTCGACATGTAACTTTTTTAGAAATATATTAAACTTCTGTAGAAATATATTAAACTTCTGTAGAAATATATTAAATTAAGTCATTGTTGATAGAGTCTGCTGATTAAAATTACCGATTTCTGCCAATCACCCCAAGATTTCAACCAAGCCAATTGTAATAGATAACTTATTGTAAATAGCATTGTTATCAATCAATATTATTATCTAGGTACCTTTCAAAGTATTACAAACTAAGAATGAGAAAGAAAAGAAAATTTTGATGGTAGTGGTAATTTTATTTTTAACAATTTTCTAGCTGAATGAACAAACTTGGCTACAGAAGGTTAATATAGATGGGATGTCTATGATGGTAACACAAATGCATCAAGTATGTGGTACAAATCAGGAGTTATGTTTGTAATTGTAAAATATGATTGTAACATTTGATTTTACCTAGGTACTTTACTCTCTAATGTAACCAATGTTACCAGAACATAAAGATTTTTTCTTTTATTTAACATACAGAGTTAGAATGTCTCTTATTAAAAATTAAAAAAGTGCAAAATATTTTTATACTCTAATGTTTGGTGTTGTGCCAGGTATACACACTACTAAAGGAGAACAAATCATTATAATGTGGGTATATAAAAATAAAAATCAAATAACTGCGGATCCCTTTTCATTGTTAAACTCCTGATGGCATTAATTAATTAACAAGTTAATTAATAGCAAAGAAAACTCAATTCATTTTGAATTTTATGGTAAGTTAACATTGTTCCAAAAAGCATTAATTTACAAAATAATTACTAGTGCTAAAAATGTGTGACAAAAAGGTTTTTTTCAGAAAATATCGTCTAAAACAACTTGATTTCCTGTGAACAATAAGTTATAGTTTTGAAAAAATCTAAACTGTTCCAGAGCAGAACCTGAAAAATCTGAAGCAAATTAATTTTAACTGAGTAAGTTTTATGTGACTAATAGTTTTAAATCTTTCCATTGAGAACATTATCCAAATAGATTGATTTGGAGATAGAAGATTACTTTTTTTGATGACTGGGAAATCATAAACAACTATAGCTTTGAGAAAGAGCATGTTAAACACCATAACATTTAAATGATAAAACTTTTGGTTCTTACATCAGATAAAAATAATTGGGACTATGCACTTTTTCGTCAGTGTATACATTGTGCCATGTAGTTTTCAAACGTTATTTTCTTGTTATAAAATAAAATGGATTTGTTTAGAACTAAAAGTGGGTCTAGTGCAAACAACAAATTAAAATATAGACTCAGGCAAAAAAAAATATTGCAATTAAAACTACACACTTTTACAGAAACGTAATACAAACAACAAGTATTATTAATACCACAATAAAAATAATTATGTATGGTTGAACCGTAATTCAATGGAGGTCCTTACACTGCCATAAGAGAACATGACAAGCCAGCAATAGTGCTTGAAATGGTATATTACAAGTGTTTCTAGTCCAGAAAAAAGGTGTTTACCGGACGAGTATGGTAAACACATTTTGGACCAGTGACGTACGATAATTTTTGCCATAAAACTCTAAACTAACCAAACAATAAAAAAGGGTACAAATTCTTGATACATATTTCCACCGAACAACCACTTACTACTCATAACTTCTAAGAGAGGTTAAGTTTTGTTTATTGATTCACTGACTCACATTGCTAACTATAATCAGCCGGCGACCGGTAAACATTCATTACAGTACAGTAGCTTGTAATGAAATTCCATTTGATTAAGCAGGCGGCAAACAGCTGTTTTCCGGGCTAAATTCATGTGTGGAAAGTCCATTACAACAAAGTTGTGTGGCGAAAACAAGGAATTACCAACAACAAGGAGATACCAGTCTACAGTGTTCAAAGTCATCACAGCTGATCTTGACTTGACACAAATGATAGATCTGGCCTCTTTAGCCACCGCGACACAATTAAGCTGCATAAGCTACAGGCGCAAAGTAAACTTGATCTTTGGTTGGTTAATCTACACAATACCCAAAGGCCACCTGACAAGTCTAAAAACAGACCCCCCAATTGCTATAGGTTTCAGAAGTGATTAGAGTACTAGCATCTTCCTACTGTAGTATTTTTAAAGGGAAAACTTATTTAGTAGTCTGATGGCCAAACATTTATGATTTTGTATAATTTATAGACAACTGATCAAATAATAAGCTTTTCAATACTCACATTTTGATAACTAAGCGGGTTTGATTGATTACCTTCTGTTAACTATTATCAAGGAGAACATGTTTTTTCCAGATAAAATTATATTTTAAGATCTACAGGGTATGTTGGCTAAAAGCTGTCTTAACTATGTTTTCATATCCCTCTTCACCCTATTTTACATCCCTTACTCCCCAGAAAATTTCTAAAAACCAAACGTGAAATGTGCACACTATGGAAAAAATGTGATTCATGCTCAAAGGAAAACGCCATGCTCATGCCGGGGGACGACCATGCAGAGAGTGCGACTGAGGCTTGGCAGCTCACCTGCAGATTGGCTAGAAGTTGTTGGAAGTGGGGCATGGGGCGCGACCCGGCGGACGAAAGAGACGGTTCGAGGGAAGAAAGAGGATCTTCCGAAGGGACATTTGGAAGTCCATCCTGCGTAAATTATGTGTTGAAAACCCTTGAATGGATATGTTTATGAGGCAAAATTTGAGCAGGGGATGGCGACGCTTTTGTTATTGTGTAGATTTAGATTATATTTCAATGCCGACACACCAAGGGGATGTTTAAGGCAAAGATGAGTTAAAGATGACTGTGAATGAATGAGATGGATATTTTACTGAGTGCTGGATCTTAAAATCCAAGCATTAAGGGAAGTTAATTCATATGATGCAAACACACAAGGGTTTTTATTTTAAGGGAGAAGTTGAGTGGAGGATGTGTCAATAAATGAGATGATAGCTTTTTTCTGCAACAGGTTATTTCTCCGGAATCATTTCGAATAATCAAGAACAGCTGGGTCAAATCATCAAAAAGCTAATAGCCTGTATCAGGATCATACAGGCTATCCCCTAATTTTTAGGTGAGCTCTGTAACCTTTCAGCTATAAGCTGTATTTATCACGGATATAAGTTTACAGTAGAATGAAGTGATTTTTTTTTTAGGTACAAATTAGAATTAATTGTGTCAGGATAGCTTCATAATCTGGATTGTTAATACAAACCTAAATGATTAGTAGCTGAGCTTAGTCTTGAACCATCATAAGTTTAAGTATACATTTTTAGCAGCCGACATAATGGAAGTAGACAAAAGGGTTGGTTCTTGGTTCGCAAATCATTAGCAAATGTCAATGAAATAGTTAACTGGATACAACTGCATGTCAATTATTGATTCTGAAGTATACACCCATTATTTTGAGCTCCCACTAATGCAAGATAATAAGCTCTAATCGCCCAAATCATCAATTGGTTAAGTTAAGAAATGTGTCAGTTTTATTATTATTTTTTAAATGAACACAATTGCATGTTTTACCCAGATCCTTTTTTGGGTTTTACAAGAGTTTATCAAACACAAACTTTCGTGGTGTGAATAATTGAATCCTGAATCGGCTCAGATAGAAGATCTACTGACCTGATCAAACTGTGAGTTGGTCGTAGTCCCAGAATGGTGTTGGGGCCACAAGTTGGTATTGGTGTGTAGGTTGGTGTCAGGCGGGGGGTAGGGAGGAGGGGTAGCTCTGGGGGGCTTCTTGGTGACCAAGTGGAGGTTATCTCCAGGTCGAATCTCGTGACTCATGTCATCCCCTGGACCTAGAAATGGCCGACCAGGCATCTCACCGTTGGGTTGCATCGCTGACAAAACACACAATGTTGTTAGTATTAGCTTGACTGTTGATAATAGACAGCATCCCCTTGTGAAATATGTAGAAAGTTTAGAATAAAAATATAAGATGAATGTTGAATAGTTGAATTGAGCCTTGAAGATGTTAATAATATATAATGACATTATATATTTGCGAAACCAGAGTTTGGACTGTTCCCTAAAAACTCCAATCTTCCTAAACAAATTAAATAAGGTATTTGAAAGAAAAAATTAAGGAGGACCTTTCTAGTATGAAAAGCATAAAATTGCATATCATTTGAAGAGTTTGACCTGAACTATTTGACACAATCATGTGTAGGTACATCAAAACATCGCAATGACAAAGACAGATATTGCTTAAGTTCTGCAGATGCTCGTCCTGGCTGCAAACGGATGGCGGCCAACCTTATACTGTGTGATTTTCATTTTCAAGTTATTGAAAAAATTTCTTAAATACAATTTATGGATTAATTTCAACCAATCACAAATTACTTACTATTTTTACTTTTCTTTAAACAGAAACGTAAAAAAGTAACTATTGTTTTCAGACAGAAATTTAAAAAAATGTACCCAAGCTTACTACAAACTTGAATAACCCAATGGTTCGGATAACTGAGGCTCGGATTATGAAGAATAAACTGTAGTTGTATCCCACCTGGATCCAGCTGATTGTGATGTTGTCTCTCTATCTCCTCAGAACTTGGAAACACTCCGGGCCGAGGTTTGACAGTGATAGCTACGTCCGCTGAAGATCTTCCCGCTGTAAAATCATACAGTGTAATGGAAAACGTTATCCTAGTAATGGGGTGGTTTAAATACCTGCTTATGGTAATATACAGATTAAATTTACAAACTGATTTTGGTACAAAAGGGTGCTATCCTCAGGCTGTCCTTAAACATATGTTGTTTCTTCTGCTGAAAGCATTAATTTGTTTAACGCGAGACCCAGCACCAGATGAAGGTATGTCAATCAGCGTCTGGTCGACAAGTTTTTTTAAATGTATTGTTTTATTGTGTGTAATAGCTGTTTTATGTATTTTCGGTTTAATTTAAATCTCTATTGATAAACTCCACCTTGACAGATAATTAGCAAGATATCGGAACTTAAGATGTGCTCGATTTTTGACACGAAACAGCTGTAGTTGTTGTACTCTACCATGGATCGTTTTGACAGTAACCAGTTAATTTAAACATCTAATAGTTAAACCTTTCAGTGATGAATTTTTGTGGAGTTTGGCTGAATATTATAAGTTTTTAAATGTTGACTCTTACAAAACAGCTGTTTATATTGCTGCATTGCTGTAACTTATAATTATTTTGTCAAGCAATCTTATTTATAATTTATTTTTTTTACAAAATTTGTTTCTTGTTCAATAGTTACATTTTCACAGAAGTTTTAGCAATCATATTAAGGACCGCCGGCAGCTGTTTTACACTTACCTATACAAGTATAAACTCCGCTGTCAACGTAAGTGACATCTGCTATCCTCAAAGCACCTTTTTTTGATATTCTATATTTTTTGTTATTTCCAATCACTTTGTGGTCTTTCGCCCATTGTATCCTTGTCCTGAAACATGAGAGTATTGCAAAATATAGAGGCATACTGTCAGGGTCATTTAAAGGAATGGGCCTGTGGCACAAGTGTTAGGTTTATAGGGAAAGATAGGATGAAAAAAAAATTCCCACAAGGTGGGTGGAGGGTAGCGCAATCACCTCTCGGACCCATAGAGCATCACATGTAAAACACGAGCCTGCATACTGTACAGTAAAATAAATATTTTTTTATTAACTGTGAACAAAATATATTGGCAATAAAACAACCATGATAAATAGCAAGATTGGATTAATTACAAAATATCCACAACAAATATGTATTTTTTCTAAATTTGGAACATTGTTTTATGAAAACTGTAGGCTACATAAATGTTCACATTGCAATTCAAAAAGTTAGAAACAATCTAATTGCTGTTGGTTGAAACTACCAAATCATAATGGTCTGGTCATTATTTTATTTAGTACTAGCTGTACCCGCGGGCTTTGCCCCGTTTAACTTCTTAATTTTCAAGATGAGCTCGTTCGCATGGCTCAATCACGTCCTGGTTGAAGTGCCTTCGCTACGCTCACTCACCTTTAGGTTGGAGCTCGTTCGCTGCGCTCACTTACCTTCAGGTTAGCTCGTTCGCTACGCTAACTCGCCTCCAGGTTGAAGTTCGTTCGCTACGCTCACTCACCTTTTGGTTGCAAATTAGCTGTTGTCATAAATTTAAAAAAATAATAATAGTGCTGCACCCTGTTGGCAATCATTGTAACTTTAAAGCTATTGAACATCATAGAACAGAACCAACTTGTTTAATAGAAACAGCTGATAAGATTCATTAATTCCTTTTAAATATGAAAAATCATAAGGTTAACATGGGAAACTCTAGAGCCACTGGGGCGGAGCCCGAGAGTCCGATCAGAATAAAAACAACTTAGTTTTCCTATTTAATGTCTAAAGAATCGGTGTACCAAATTTCAGCTTCCTAGGTAAATGGGAAGTGGGAGAATTAGTGATGAGTGAGTGTGTCAGTGAGTCAGTGAGTCAGTGAGGGCTTTGCCTTTTATAAGTATAGATGTTTGGTTGAATTGTAAAGTTCAATAAACAATAACAATATACTTTATAACTTGTCCATTGAGAACAGTATGCACAGCTAACAGCTTCATAGTACATCGTCATAAGATCAACACAGTCTACGCACGATTTTCGGTTCAGTTTAATTTTTTTTAATTAATGACAAACAACAGATAGACAATAAAACAAAATTGATATATGAGATTGAAAGAATACCATAGTTTCGTCTGCTCACTTAAAACGAAATATAACATTTATCGACGTAAACAGACAAAATACCTACTGACCTGTTAAATTTCTTCACGGGACACTTGATCTTCACTTGTGTCCCGTAGAAGACCTGAGCCTGACCTCCAATCTTCAGGTTGACCTTCTTCTTACTAGCATTGTGCTGGATGTAGGTGATGTTGGCCACAGCTATGGTAGGGTTCTGCTCCTCGCTGGGACACTGTTTAGTGTTGCAAGGTCGGCGATCCTGAGGCTTCACAGAGGGACATTGACTCTCGGGCCGAGACACCACGTGGTTCTGCGCCATGACCTGCTTACACTCCACAACTCGAGTCTTGATACCCCCTCCACAACTCTTGGAGCACTGTGGAAGACGTAATTTAAAAATAGCGACTTCCCTATAGGAAAATTCGCTAAAATGGGAACCTCAATAAGAAGACCCACGATAACAAGTGGTTCTTGATAACAAGCGTGATTTTCAAATACCTTTCAGAAAAATAATATTTGTACTCAAAAAAAGTTAACTGGATATGTACGTGTCAGTTTAGCTTGTAGAATATGAGCTGTGAGAAAGATAACAAAGAAAATGATATTTTAGGAGTAATCTGAAGTAAAAGACTATGTTAGGTAATTCACGTGTATAGAAAAAGTAAAAAAGAGCCTGCAGGGTGGGATTTAAAAGACACTGTGCTCTTTAAGGTCTTAAACAGATTGCAACTAAATATAATTAAGTTTTAAAATATTCTTAATGATAATTCCGTATTCCACTCAAAGGGAAATTTGCAAAGTTTTAAAATATTCTTAATGATAATTCCTGATTCCACACAACCAAGAGAAATTTACACAAATTTGTTCAAGTAGGATGGCTTTTTCCTTCCTGGAACAAGATACAGTACTGGCTTTGCCACTGAAAAAATTCCTGCAGGTGCCCATGGGTGAAAGCACTATGATCATTTAAGGTTTTGGAAGCATGAAAAACTGGAATGACAAAATGTTTTTGAAGTCCATTTTCATTATTCCAACAACACAGTCTTTGCTCTTTCTCCTCTGTAATGATCTCCTCAATGGAAGATTGAATAGGAAGTGCACTACCCTTGCAATACTTGATTTCTCCCAAACTCTATCATAGTTTTCATTTAACCATATTAATATGGTTATTCAAATTTGATCTACTCTAAATTTGGTTTCTTGCTGTTCCAATCATATTAGATTGGTAGGAGCCAAAAGACAAAAGGGAGTTGTGATCTTCTATCGATAAAATGTACTGGTGTTCCTCAAGGTAGTTGTATAGGGCCAATCTTGTTAAGTACTTTATACTCTTACCTTGGTCCAATCCGAAGTGTGCCACTTGACAGGGCAGTCCAGCACGTTGCAGTATTGCCTATCAGGAGGGGGAGGCTGGGGACACATATTGTTAGGGACAATGATGGTGTTGCCTCCTCCTCTAGTAACCTCGTGGATACAGTTGACATCTCTTGTTTGTATCCCAATACCACAGGCCTTGGAACACTGTGAGAACTCCGAGTGGTTCCATCGTGGAGGACAAGGGTGGTCGTTGCAAGTCTTTATCAGGATTTCCGGCCGCGTTTCTTGCGGACAAAGGTAAGGGCTGACTGATTTTTGGTCTTCGTTTCTCACACAGAGGATCACTGATTCTTGCACACCTGAGAACATTGATGCATTTGAGGAAAAACTTTGTTTTTTATTATTACTGTTCTAGTATACAATTTAATCTCTGTAGTTGAAAAATGTTGGAAGAAATTTTAAGTTTAAAGGTAACAAAGGTGTTAATAGTTATACTTTTTTTTACAATGAAGTATACATTTTTAGGACATTTATTATTTATTGAATTTACTAAATGTTTCATGATTATTTCACAACAATATACAACCCAAATAAGTTTTCAAACAACAGTAGTTCGGATAAATACTTTATAAAATCACCTCAATAAGTTTACTAGGTCACATCGTATACTCTACCTCCAAGACATGATGCACTGCAATGGGTGAATCCTTGCTCCTTCCATGAGTATGTTTTGCCCGAACTTCCAGGTGCCACTCTGATATTTGTATCGCTGTAACTACCACTGCGATACGTGTCTGCGTAAGACAGATCTCCATAGCCATCCCGTACAGTGTCCACACTGAAAAGTGGCAAAAGACAACACGTTTTCATCTTTTACAGACATTCATTGATATGGAATAATATTAGAAAGTATAATAATTTTTTTCAAGTACTCCAGTATTAAGAACAATCAATAATGTAAGTTTATCTCTTGTTTGCCTGGTTCATTTCAAAGATAGTGATTTTCAGTTTAATGTACGTTTCACCACTATGTGTGCCTTCAACCATTTGAACCTCAATCAGACATATTCAACTTCTGCAATAAAAAAAATCCAAGCCGTCTCTAGAAAATTAGCAAGATTACAACACTTCTCAAAAAGAGCCATCAACCATTTTCATTAGTTACTCTGATTATGAAAGAGTTATTTCACACTACAAAACAGGTTGGTGAATTTTTCAATTGTACATCACAATGATGAAAATGATAGAAACATAGAAATTTTAATCAGGCAAAACCAATCTAAATATTGCAGAATTTCCAGGAATTCAACTCTTCACTCTAGCAACTTACTCTAAAACACGAACATGTATCTCCTATCCTATATTATATCCTCTTAGATGTATACTCCTACAGCTTTTTCCCTTGATCTTTATATACCTACAGAGACGTAAGATACAGAAGATACATAAGTTTATGGGAAGATTTTACACTTTTATACCTGGTATGGTAGGGCGGAAATGTACTTGTTCCAAGCAAGGAAGAGCCCAAACAGCAATGACCAAATGGCAACATAGCATTTTTGTACAGCAGTTGTAGCGCACAGGATCTTTCTTCAGCGTGAGCCCGTACATGATGGCGAGGGGGTAAATGGGAGAGAAAAAGGGATGAAAAATAGAATTTGCTCTAGACACCAGCAGCTGGTGCTGACACCACTTAAGTGAACTATTGAATGTATCCTGTACCTTAATTCTCTGTGATCTACCTAAATGAGTATATCTCTTCAATAAGAACAATTAAAATTAAATACCTGTTTGAGAATGAGCATGGCTGCTCCGAACATCTTTCAGTCTCAGCTGGTTTCGGACCCTGACACTTGGAGTCCGGAAGGGTTGCGTAAGTTCGAGAGAAGTCGAGATAAATCTTACAATTCACCTTTCTAGACCGCGAGCCTTCCCCACAGGTGACGCTACACGGACCCCAGGACCCCGCTATGAAACTGAAAAAAAGATTAGTGTCAGCTTAAATACAATCAAAGTGCAATAATTTATATTTTCTTTTTTTTTAGATTGATTAATATTCAAAGTTGACGCACCTGGGTGCTAATTTTAAGGCTCAGATGAGTCATAAAAAAAACATAACAACATTGTAACTGTTTAGGATCAGCTGGTTTTCAGCAAGTACCATTTATTAGAGGTCCATAGACCAAATGACGGGTTAAGCTTTGGTCAATCAAAATGGTTTTGCCTTTTTACAGGAAAGAACCAGCAAACTTCTGATTAAAACAATACATTCAGTCAGTTACATCTATTTAAGGTGGGTGTATAAACTATCTTTAATTGACTGCAGATAATAAAATAACATAATTTGATTTGTCATAGCCTCCTTTAATACAAGGCTGTTGGTGTGTGGCAACTACCGGCCAACCTGTTGCCATGGCAATACTAGAAGCAACAAACCTGTAAACAAACATTTCGCAGACGCTCCATATTATGAATTTGTGCAACAGCTGTTTCAGTAGGCCTGGGCAGTGGTGTTGCCTCTTTTTCTCTGGCCACGGACTTATATTAGAGAAGGCCAAAGCATTTTTTCAAAAGTAAAAAAACCATTTTTATCAAAGTTAAGTGATCTCTCTTTATTGCACATGTGTATCGAAAAATATTGAATGTGTAGAAATACGAAGATTAATATTCAATACATATCTAAAAGATGTAAATGTCTGTAATGGGGTTATGTATTTCTTGGTTACCCACATATCAAACACACAAAGAGTATATGTATTGAATAAATACCAATGTCTTCCAACATATACATAAGAGGCATAGCTAGACTTTATTATTTATAGCTAGGTCATCAAGGTCAATAGTAACTCCTAAAGAAACCAAAAATTAAATATATACGATATAATTATTTAGTTTTACATCATTTTGAAATAAGGAACTGAACTCAATATCTTTCTCTCCTTTTATCTAATTATGTACCTATATAATTTTCTTTGTCTAATAAATGAAAAAAAAACCAACGTACATTAAATGTTTTACTGGAAAACAGTAGAAAAATGTTGCGTATTGTGTGCATATTTTTTTGACAGTGGCCACAAAAATAACTACGTACAAACCAAATAATATACTTAATTACTTACCTATATAACTAAATTTACATTTACTATTTATCATTGCTATAACTCTAGATTACAGTGTACTTTGGCAAAAATATAATTAATAAATTCATTACTTTCTTTTTATTAATAAAAACTGTTTTGTCAAACTCATTGTTGTAAAGTTCTTTAGCATTTCCCAAAATTTAAACGCAATCTTTTGGTTTTAAACCTCAATTCTGGTTCTTAATCCTTAGTATATTGTTATGGAATTAAATATCCATAAATATTATCGTGACTAACTAATTTTAAATAAAAGTTGTCAGTACTACTTCAGTATTGTTGATCCACTGTACACAAATCCACATAAATAAAACATTATTAACTAAAAGCTCCTTAAATCTATGCACAACTCATGAACTCAATCTACATATTTGTATATCGTCATGTCCCAAACCTACCAAATTTTAACATTGTATTTAATATACAAATGCTGTGTATAATGCTTACATTGATAATGTGTGTCGTAAGTGCCATAGGAAAAGAAAATTACATTATTAAATTTACTCATAAGTAGATGTAGAGCATATTACTCAAAGCTTTGAATGTAAATGAATACACGTTGTGAAGTACTGAAGTAGACATCTCAATTCCATTCTAGTAAAGTTGGAGCGAATTTTATAACATAACATAACTTAGATTCAATTGAACCACTAGAGTGTGCCTAAAAAAGTAGTAAAGTATGTCTTATTTCTCACTTACACACTTTTTAACTATTCCAATCTGAAAGACAAATTTAAAATAAACTAGCAAGTTGTGTTTACATTAACTAACATGGTATCAATGCAAGAACAATACAGTACGTAATTCGTAGACAATCCAACGTTTATCAAAGATAAATTTATTATTATTCCATTGTCAAAACTATAAAGTAAAAGATATCAACACAAATGACGTGTGTATCTTGGGTCGAAATCGGGTAACTTTGAAAACTGTGATAGATGTACTGCAATCTGGCAGTACATTATCTCCCCAATATCGCGGTGAAATCAAGAAAATCTTCCGAGGTCTCACGGAAAATCCTTGAAAATCTGCCGCAGACACGGCAAAATCGTAAGCATATACTACGTTACTGCTATAATGGAAACATCTTCCGAGGTCTCACGGAAAATCATTGAAAATCTGCAGCAGACACGGCAAAATCGTAAGCATATACTACGTTACTGCGATAACGGAAACATCTTCCGAGGTCTCACGGAAAATCCTTTGAAAATCTGCCGCAGACACGGCAAAATCGTAAGCATATACTACGTTACTGCGATAATGGAAACATCTTCCGAGGTCTCACGGAAAATCATTGAAAATCTGCCGCAGACACGGCAAAATCGTAAGCATATACTATGTTACTGCGATAATGGAAACATCTTCCGAGGTCTTACGGAAAACCCTTGAAAATCTGCCGCAGACATGGCAAAATCGGAAACATATACTACGTTACTGCGATAACGGAAACATATTACGAGGTCTCACGGAAAATCCTTGAAAATCTGCCGCAGACACGGCAAAATCGTAAGCATATACTACGTTACTGCGATAACGGAAACATCTTCCAAGGTCTTACGGAAAATCCTCAAAAATCTGCCGCAGACACGGCAAAATCGGAAACATATACTACGTTACTGCGATAACGGAAACATATTACGAGGTCTCACGGAAAATCCTTGAAAATCTGCCGCAGACACGGCAAAATCGTAAGCATATACTACGTTACTGTGATAACGGAAACATCTTCCGAGGTCTTACGGAAAATCCGGTCATTGCAACATATCATCGCCACCCAGGATCGCAGTAATTACGTTACAGTAGTATAATTGTATTACCAACCATGATTAAAAAATAATCAAAACTAGGCCTACTGTTCTGGCGAATGAGCAGTGCAAGCATTCCTTCTCAAGTGTATGTTGTGTTTTCTATCGTGCGGTGTCAATGTCATGCTCTATAATGTGCTTTGATTTTATTTTCATTTAAACTTAGTCTCAAATAATTTATCTGCCGAAAAAAAAGTTTGCCACAATTAGATGTACTATATTGGTCAAAAAGACAAACTACGTTAAGTATGATTATGTCTTTATTTAAAATTGTTTAGAATATAGTTTTATTTGAGGAGGAGTGCTTGTAATTCTCATTTTACCGTACTAGTAATCGTATAACAATTAGTGCTAGGATTTTTTTACTGTAAATTATGAAAAAATACAAGTTTATCAAATTTGCCAAAATTTTTTTAAATTTATTACATTTATTTTGTATTTAGAGTGTTAAGATAAATATAGTATCGTTTAGATGAATAAACCCAATACTTACGTTCCATGATTACGCTTATTTAAGTCCAAAAAAGGTGCAATATAATTGTGTTACTTTGGATTTTGTTGAGTTGTAACCTACAACTGGCTAAATCTATTTCATGGTTGTTGATTTTATTCGGTATTACCAGTCTAAACAGGTTCATCACCTTCAATTCATTCATCAAAATTACAACAATATTTTGTAATGAGTTTAGTAGTAAAAAAGGTTTACACGGATACTACTAGAACTAGAAACCATATTTTTAAAATTATTATTTGGGTGTAATTTAATCTTGGGTATGATTTTAATATAAGATTCAAAAGAGACTGAAGATAAAGAAGTGGATTTAGGGGATGACAGAATTCAACATGCGAGGATTCCTATAGTTCAAGAAGCAGTCCAAAGTGATAGGAGTGTAGTGGAAAGAGAATACAAGAGAGGAGTTTGCGGATTTGTGCTATTGTCCAAGCCATCTTCTTCTATATGCAGTACTGTCCTTTTATTTTCAATTATACACAGTTTTCATGAGGTAAATCACAGTATTTACTTCACTAATCGTTTAGACTAAAGTATGAATCCAAAACAGCAAATACATTCAAGAATCAAGAGCTTTATTGTTGTTGACCTTTTACAAGTAATAGACATAGCCAACAGAAATAAAAAAAACAAAAACTAGAAAAATAGCGGGTTCTAATTAAAAGTCAATATTAACATTAGAAACTAAATATTCTGTTACACAATAGTATAGATTTTCGATGCTTTGCTGCTAGACCTAATTTATTAAAACAACAAATGCAATTTATCTCTTTGGCCAATCTATGGGCAGGGATATATAGATTGGATTTGCCTCTTGTATTGTAAGAATTTATACTCTCTCTACAAGTGAATTGATGAAGATAAGCTTTAGTGTAGAGGAGTATGTGAAAAATATACAAATTCAAATTCACTACAGTCATAATTTTAAGATTTATAAAAAGAAGTCTACAGCTATCTACAAGGGCCAGCCCCACAGATTGCTCGTATTATTTTTTTTTAATAAAAGAATTTCGTGAGTGTGAGGAATTTTACCGTTATAAATATGCAATTGAAAAAAAAAAAAAAACTAAAATAAGAACAAAACAAAATATCTGAGTTTCCGAATTAGATAATTTACTCTGTTTTTTATTTACATGTGATTTCTATGTGCTCTTGCCAATTTAATTTTGAATCTATTTGGAAACATAATAATTTTACTGATTTTAATTCATCGACAATTGGGGACAGACTCAAACAAACTTTCTGTGTTTTTTCTTCTTCACACATCAATTTATTTGAAGAAAACCAATTTAGTGCTGATGTTATGGATTCATTAGTAATAATTAAATCAAGCTCATGAATATCTCTATGGGTTGCAATCAATCCAATGTTGTGTCATCAGCATATACAACAATGTCTACATGATCATTCGTCGGCAGGTCATTTATGGATATTAGAAACAAGAAGGGTCCCAAAACTGAGCCCTGTGGAACACCTACTTCAACCAATCTTAAGTCAGACTGACTGTCTCCAACAGATACATACTGCTTTCTTTTGGTTAAATAAGTTACACCTGTGATAACATAAAATTAAAGTTTTTTGAATAAAATATCAAAAAGTACAGAGGCAAAAGCATTTGTATGATCAAATAAAGTGAATGAAACAGTTTCTTTATTTTCGAATGCATTTAAAGATTTATTAATTACTTCAAAAACACCTGCGGTTGTTGATTCCCTCCTAGAATCCAAACAGTGAATTTGTCAATATTTTTTTTTCCTTCAAAATATTCATTAATTTGATTATGCATGAGTCATTAAAAAAAATTGGAAATGATTGGCACTATTGAATTTGGATGATAATTACTATAGTTCGGCCGCTTAGAAAGCGACCTCCTCCAGCATTGGTTTAGCATTAGCGCGCAGGTCGTTTTCTAAGCGGCCGATCTATAGTAAGATTTTTATCACCTTTTTTATATAATAGTTTATATAATAATTTTAGAAATTTTTTTTAAGGTCAGAGAAATAACCAATTTTCAAACATTTACTATTGCAAAAAGCCAGAGGTTCACTTATCAAATGGATCATTTGTTTGATGCTGTAATTTGAAAACCAATAATTATCCATAGTTTTTAGATTTGAAAAGTTAACTACTACATACATTGTAAACCTCTTGCCATGATACCTCCCTCCATTGGAAGTGACCTACAGGGGTAGTCCCCAACAACTCATGCGCAGGTGTGTTGGTGGGAGGGATTTTTTCTAGCTCATTAACACGTTCAATATAATAGTTATTGAGATTGACAGCATCCAAAACCTCAGATTTAGTTGATGTAGGAGAATATTCATTAAAATACTCATTACATCAATGTCGGTGTTCACTTTTTCCATGACACGTACAGGTACAGTAAAACTTTTTACAACTTATTTACACTTTGATATATTCAAAAGGTGCGAGTATAAACTTTAGGAAACAAATTACCAAAATATTTAAGTGTTGGGTGCTAAAATAAATCTTCAATGCCGAAACATGCAAAAAAGCATTTGATTCAACTGTAATATAGTTATTTATTAGTCGAAAATTAGGTGGCATTTTGATCTAATATGATACAAATTTTTTGATAAAACATCAAAATAATAATTTATTTAATAGAACCTTAAAATATTGAAATGTAAAAAAATAATTGTTTGACAAGTGATATAATATTTTACTTCTGTTTAAAACTCTTTAAAATAAAGTATTAAAATTATTTACTTGTACCAAATATCCAGAGCCTCCATTAGGGATGTCTATACAGTCTATAAAACATAATTTAAAGAAATTATTTAATTCTTCAAAGTGACTTAAAGCAAATTTGTAGAGAAACTTAGTAAAAGAACACCTCAAATCCAAAAACTGATAACATGTACTGTGCAACAGATACGTAAAAAATGTAATGAATGTCTCAAAATTCATATTATTCCAAAGCATTAAACTGCATTTACAAAACGTATTTACATGCTTACGGACCAGGACCACTTAACACCAATACCAGCGTTCCTAGTCAAAAATTTACAAAGGATGATTTAAAAAATCATGCCATTCAAACCTGATGGTGAATGGGTCAGTGATTAAAATGTTTTGTGAAAGATAAAAGGAATAAAAGAACAATACATGCATATCAGCTGTGTTTGGTGAAGAAGAAGGTTGAGTTTTGTTTGGTAGGCGTTGTTTACCTCACATATAACCAGCCGCACCCAAAGAACATTTTGATTGGGCTGAAAAACCATAACGGAACTTCTTCGTTAGCTAGTCGTACTTGCAGGGAGCAATTGGTGCTAGAAACAAAATGGCGTCCAAACAGGTGGTGGGAGACAGAGAAAGGGGAAGAAAATAATGAAAAGACAGTTAAAGTTGAAGGATGAAAAAAACACCTGATTGAGGGTTAAGGTTTGCTCTTACGACAAATAATAGAACACCAAAATTAAATGTGCTATAAACATGTAACTGTGTGAATATTTTCAAATTAAATACAATTAAACATATTTTATTTTGTCATTGCATTTTGATAGGGAGTACCAAATGTTATTATAATTTTTTTAAATGGTTATTATAAGCTTGAAATAAAATAGCATATAAATTAAAACCGAGAAGAATAATGTGTACACAAAAAATTAGTTTGTGCTATGTACAGTTAATTTTGTTCTGTAGATTAATTTTTAGATTTAATCTAGTACTTTAATTTTTACTCTATTAATAAATATAGCCTTTAAATTTAAGAAAATGGTGCGGTGCACTCATTAACAAATATTGTGTGTCACGTAAAATATTTTTACTAAAAGATAATTTTTTGACTGTTCATATTGCCAAGTCTAAATACTAAATTTCTTTTCAAATTTACCAAAGAAGAATATCTCACTAAATGTGATAATCATGTTCCAAAAGTTTTTTTAAATTGTTTCAACTACAAAATTAATAAACTGATGTAATTTTGTGAGTAGAGTGTTGGCTTATTCCAATGATCAACATTCTCTTCTGTTATATTTGAAAATTGTATCAGATCGTTAAATCAACTAATGTGTGCTCATTTAAAATTTACTGTGGTAAACTTCCAAGAGATAAACATAAAGGTTTTGACTAATAATACCCACCAACTTGACATACCATAGATAATTTGATATTCAAAAATTAAAATACACAACTTAACCGTTTACACAAATAAATATCATTTTCAAACTACATCAAAATACATTTTAAAAATCTGTTGTTACCTAATTAGTGAATAAGGCAATACTTGAGTGTAGAAAACTTTCAATGTTACATTGAAAATACATCAACTACACTGTCAATTTGGTGATATTTTGTGATGTATCTAAGGGTACAAATGGAAGGGTTGTAAATGATATAACACAACAAAGACTTACTTAGGTTCAGAGGAGGGTGACAGCTGCTCTCCCACTAGCTTCTCTGCCGTGGGTCTGAATGGAGGGTAAGGATGCAGTAGGGGCATTGCTTCGTCTATGTCCGGAATAGGTTCTGAGTCTGACTCTTCTGAAAAAAAAAACAAACTTAAAACATTACTTGGACCTTTTCCGTTAATCTATTGACCCTTATTAGTATATCAAGTTAGGTTAGGTAAGGTTAGGCTTACCGTTAACATAGTCCTATCTCAACTTAACCTAACTTAATATACTAATTAGTAGTAGTGAGTTAACGGAAAAGGTGCAATTACTTTAACACTCATACAGAAATTTCGGTCTCTGTGACACCAGGGAAATTTTAGTGAATAATATAGGCAACACTGACAACTGGTGAGTGCTACTTATCATCAATTCTCTCAATCCCCTAACCTTGGTGCATATGTCAATCTGTTCCAGAATGCACAATAAATCTATAGGGTTCCAAAATAATTATATATCTGCACAGAGAAATTGTGTTGTATGATTAATTCTATTTAACATCATAATTGTTGATGGAGGTAAATAATATTTTGTAAAAAAATTAAATAGAACCACCATAACTATTGATGTTGCACTATACATTTGAATTTTGATTAGAAGTTTTATTATTTACGTATTGTTAAAATCGTATGTAACAAATTAGAAAATAACAGAATTTTTTCCTTAGAAAAACACCAAAGTAAAACATAAGTTATTCTATGAATATACAATGACATGGAATGTCATTTTTCAGATATTTTTTTTTCTAAGTAATACATATTGCATTTTAACATACCCGTAAATAAATAAAAAATAAAAAAAATAGACAACATCCAAAGAAACACATGAGATAGTAACCAAAAAGATACCCTACCTTTAGAGAAGGTAAAGAACTACTAGAAGTAATCCAGGTAAAATAAAATCTTATTTATTTAATAAAAAAAAAAAAAACACACAAACCTGGACAAGTAATGCCAGTGTTACAAGGCTGAACAGAGCTGGGTTGAGTTGCCTCATTGCAGGATGTTGAGCCCGGTTTGTCATATCGGGATATCCGACAACTCACGTTACGAGTTTGAACTCCTTCTCCACACGATACGGAACACTGTTGAGAAAAAAACACAACGAATAAAAATACCCCCGCCGCAGCAAACCTGCAGACTAAGCGAATTTCCATTTGACTGATTGGATTTACACTGAAATGTCTACTTAAAAATATAACATTTATTCTTGATTTAAATAGAATTATTTTAACAAGTACTTAGGTTTGCTGCATCAGGGAGGGTAAAACTTTTTTTTTGTAAAATGTGAATAGGTAGTGAGAAATAAAAACATTTTCCAAATTTGATCAAAATATGTTCACAAACAAGCAAACTACAACAGTTTACTTATTCTCCATAAGAATAACATGGGAATTTTAAATTTACAATTTTTTGGAATTTTCTCCATAACTATTAGGCGCATAATAACGCTTCAATATACTAAATTATTTGTTTTTTTAAGCTCTACAAAATGGTTTGGAAAGAAATTGCTAAATTTTATGTTTTTTTTGGTAAAAAATAGGAAAAACCTATTTTTACCCCATAAAACCCCCCGTAAACCCCCGTTCCCATGGTCCGATCATGCTGGATCGCGAACTCGTTCGAATAAACGTACGTTTACACGTTTGTACCAAATTTCATCCAAATCGGATCATTTTTGCTCGAGTTATCGTGCTGACGGACACACATATATATATAAATATATAAATATATATATATATATATGAATTTGAACGGATGGTGTTTTAGGCCTCTAGGGACCTCAAAACGAAAAAAATCGGTCCCGCGTCCAGGTCTTACCATGAGTACTACGGTAATAGCTTATTCCCTATATGGGAAATTCGCTAAAAAAACAGCAAAAGTGTGATAATTACTCAATATGCTCTTTCTCGGCATGCAGTAGAAACAGCTGTTTACTATAACTGCTTTGCGGGTTTAAAGAAGTTCTTATTCTCCTCAGGGAGTAAAAATCAGCTGTTGTAAACTGTTGAATATTGCAACCCAACTCATCTAGTCTGGATTAGTGATGGACCATCATATGTTTTTACATTGTACATATGAAGTTGTTTACAAAATATAATTCAGTGTTGTGTTGTGTTTGTAAGATAATAAAAGAGTTTACAACAAACTTTCTTTCATTAACTTTAATTTCACCAACATAAACTACGATTGCAAGCATCGAATGTATGGATCGTTTCAATCATTCGTAGCTTATTGTAAATGGTTCAAAATATCGATAGTGTATAGAACACTTACGCAATCATAATAGACAAAATAATAGAATCAAAAACTAAACAGATGCTTGTTTGAACGAGCCAAATTGAATGAACGACTTCAACTGCTAGACCCATCAACTAAGTCAGCAAAAAAAGGTAGAAAATATCATTCTAGACACTAGTGCATTACATGCCTCATGCCTGGTTCTCATAGACCTAACTATTATCATAGACATTTTGTCTATGCTATTATATTATGTTTTAGTAAAACACTTGTGACAGCTGGTCCAAATATAGAAGGGATATCTACTTCGGTATCCTATAGCAGAGTAGGCCTATGTTTCATCGCTGCCGATACTACTTAGATAGGTAAGAGTTTTATCGGTTTAAATATTTGAAATCTAATTTTTTTTCGGTTGAACTCACCCCGGACCAATCCCCAGTCACCCATGTTGGAGGACACGGTGTTGAATTACACGGTTCTACCGACCTCGGACGATGACCTCGGCAGAAATGATCTGGAACCTGATAACAGTAAATGAACAGAGTGAAAATAAAATATAAAACTTTTCATACTTACAATTACACCTGCTAAAGGAACTATTAGTTACATTGGGTGAATAAAGGAGAAAGGGTCGAATCTTCATCACTATCACTGCCATAGGTTTCTCAAAATAGATACTGTAAATTGTTATCTTGAGTGAAAAAATAGACAGAACAAAAGTAAGATTTGTTTCGGATTCCCGAGGCTATGCAAATTGTAGTGTTGTATATGATTTTGTGTATTTAAAAAAATATTTTTCTAGTAGATTACAAAAAAGATCAGTGATTGAAAGTCTTAATAGCAAATTTACTGATGTCAACAAATGTTTTCTCTAATTTCTATGTTAGCTTTTGTTTAAACCTAGGTTGACATACCAGAAAAAAAACAAATGTTTACAATAGTATATGACGTTACTAGTCCTGAAAATCTGAGTTTACCGGAAGAGTGACGTACGATAGTTTACTCCATACATAGATTAAACATACTCCCTTAGGGAGTATATTTAATCTATGCTCCATACTACCAAATCTGTACAAATCCTTATAAATTACCACCAACTAAAGGACTAAAAATCACTAGTCATAACATCTGAGAGAGGTTATGTTTTTGTTTATAACCACTCATTGCCGCCTAAATACAGTATAATCAGCTGATTTGTGTCCAGTAAAACTCATTACAGTACATTAGTACGTAATGAACCCCATTTGATTAAGCTGGTGGCAAACAGCTGTTTTCTGGACTAAATCCTTGCGTGGGAAGTTCGTCAAAATAGTGTAGTGTGGCGTAAATATATTTTTAAGGTTGGTTAAATGTAAATAATAGTCAACAACAATACCCCTTTGTATCCTATAAATGGTGAAAATATATTACGTCTTATTGTTTTTAATCAATGCCTAATCGTAGGCTAATCCGCAATGTCTTGAATAATAATCTTTTCATACATCACAAACTCCAACTACTGTGTAACATTAAACATATTTTGCAATATTTTAAATTGCCCAAAACACATAAAACAGGTATAACCTCAAAGTGTGATCAAAACCAAATTAGCTACCACAAAAACACGAAAATGTTTCACACATCTAAATGCAAACCAACCTCGATCGATCACAATATTTCACAGTATCGGGGAAATCTCCGCTTTGACAGCATTAAACAATCATTATTCACATTTACTCTGCTTAACTAACTGAAGAGGTAATTTATCACGGAGTGGAGCCAATGATAATCATCCTCCTTGGGAGGGGAGGCTGATGTTGCTTGAGCTGCGCCAACTCAATTCTCTTGTGAAAACTAACGACGACACAGGCGCCAATAAAAGTATCAGAGGCAGTCTGAGATATCATTACCCCTTCATTAACACTTTCCAGCGACTTCTTGTCTTGGGGTGTCTTGAATTTTCTCTCAATTGATGGTTATAGCGATATTTTAATAGTATTGATTTTTTTGGTTCTGAACTTTTCTATTTTGGTGTTGAACATTATTTAAATTATGATGAATTGGCAATGTTGTATTTGTATTGGATTTATATAATGGCAAAAGTTTCTTTTAATTGAGAGCCTTTATTTTTTAGCTTCTGTGTTAATTGTTAATGTTATTTCAATCAATCGTCATAGCTTTTGTGATATAGGAGGGCACTTGTATATTTAATTTTTCTTCAAAGTCAACCTTATTTATAAATCTTATTTTATCAATACAAAAAACACGATATTCTAAATGTTTTACTTCATCTCCAAATTTATTCATTCTAAATTGTGTTTTCTTTGGATTTTGTCTTAAATTTTATTTCCATCGAGAACTTTATAATACTTTGTTTGCATGGAAAATACGTTTTGGTAAATATTAATGAAAAAATCCCTATGCTATATCTAACAAATATTAATAAAACCTAGCTAAAGATTCTCATGAAATACATGACATTTAATAATTTATCTTTCAAGAAAACAAAAACAGCTTTAAACATATGAAGGCAAGTTTTGTTGTATTATGTGTATTCTTCTTGTAAAACATGCCATACTACTTTTAAATCATGTGCTTGACGAATTTTAACCTTCAGCTTCAGAATATGTATGTGAAAACATAATGATTCAAAATTTTTATAAATTAGGTGTTTAGCTAGAAGAATGATTTGTAGCTTTACAAACTACAAACCTTAGCCCTTGTTCCGTTAGCCTCCTCAGTACAGATCACGCTTCTCTGTCGTGTACCTCCTCCACAAGTGACAGTGCAGCGACCCCAGTCTTCCGTCAACCATCTGCAGAACAATTTAAAATAAAAATAAACAAAATTATTACCTTACAACATTGGCCTAATTTATTGCTTCTTCGAAATCCAGCCCAGACACTTCACCTGATTGACCAAATGAGATCATTATTTAACTGCAAAAACAAGATCAGCTGTTTGATCTAGTATGAAAAAAAACTTTTTGAGTTACTATATGTGAGGTTAATAGTTTGAAAAAATTAGGCTTTTCCATGAATATTAGAACAGAAATTATTTGAATCATAAGAATAAACAAATGATGTCACTGGACCGAAAGCCTATTTTAATTGCTGTAGCAACTGGTTTGACAGTTCTATTAAATAATAATAAAATCATGTTTACTTCGGAGCCATTCAGTAACATAATTTTCAATTATGATTATTATACATACAGCTTCTGTTCTACTATTTGTGAGTTTTCCCAACAATTAATGACCATTAGTAGTTGCTTTAACCGTACTCTTTAACACGGTGTGTGGTATTATTAAGTTGAATAGTTTGCCTTTACACTTTACCAGATGATGTTAAAGTACTTTTTCAATTAGTAGAAAATATGTCCAGTGTCGTGAAAAACTGAGCTTTTGAACATACAATTTTATATATAAGTACGTTAGGCCTCGTTAAAATACCTAAAATCACTCTCGAACATTTGGTGAATAAAAGAAAATGGTCGAATCTTGATCACTGCCAGTAGGTACTGTAAATTGCAATATTTGGTCAATTAAAAAAATACACAGAAACAAAAGTAAGACATGTTTTTGATTTCTGGACTATGAACGAAAAAATAACAAAAACCTAACGAATATATGCAATGTACAAACAAAACTGTATTTTATTTCTATAGATAAATTTCGATAATCATTTCATAATACAAGGCTGAGTAAATTGGAACTGACTTGGGAGGACAGCGATGGGTATTGCACTCCACAACTTGAGGTTCTGGCTGCTGAGATGCGTTGCACAGCTGAGAGTCGACATCGGCTCCGGTGACTCTGTTGCGACAAACTGCTTGTGACATCTTGTATCCTGTGAGGTAGGAAGAGAAGAGTTATCAAGAGATAGGGGATTGAAGATAGTTCATTTATATATATATAATATATATATATAATATATATATATAATTTATATATATATATATATATATAAACTATTATAAATATTAAGAGGACCAAAATTTTACTATACATTTTAGAAACTCTAAGCCTTTGAGGAAAAAGAGTGCAACTAAGAATTTAACACAAATAAATCACCCAAGAATTGTCGATTAGAGTTGTTCAAAGGTTTATTGCGGACATTTTCCATCACGATGGTAAAAACTATCGTGATGGAAAAAGTCCGCAATAAACCTTTGAACAACATTCAACAATGTCTATTAGAGTTATACTATAGTTTTTACCCTGTCACTTTCTTATCACATTTCTGGTTCACAAGCAATATTTTTTTTTGTTTCGTTAAAATTTAATGGACGTAGTTAGTTGGAACAAAGCAAAATATATAGTAATAATCAAAATTTATTCCACACGTATCAGACAATACGTACCTAAAACTGTCTTCAACTCCACAAGGATGGTGAGTGTATAAGAGAGCATTAGTCTACAGTGTTACTTGGCTCTACGTTTTATGTCGTATTTATTTTATGGTAATTTGCTATAATTCTTCAAGATACATTAAGGTAGTCTCTTAAAATGGGTTTTAAAAAAAGTAAATTTTCTAGGTATCAGTTTTTTTATTTAAAAAGCGAGTTTTTGATGGCCTTAAAAATCTGTTTCGACTACTTAAGGTCAACGGAGACGTGGTAGCGGAGTGGACTACGTATTCTTGGTAGTGATGCATAGGGTTTACATTATGGCGTCCCCTATAATATTTTTTAATCAGTAATTTTCATTCTTCTAAAGTACAAGCTCATCTCTTGCTTTGCTTGATACATTCCACGCAGTCCCGCGGCCCATGTGGACTTGCAAAAATGCAAGATTAGATGTGTTTAAGGACTACTACCTAAAGTTTGATCTAAGTCCTCAATGTTAAAACTCACCCCCTCCACAGGAGACGGAACACAGAGACACAGGAGCCTCGGCCCAGTGGTACAGAGGCTGTGCACAGGATGACCCATCTCCTCCGCAGACTCCACATTCGTCCACCTTCTTGCCAGAGCCTATCTCAAGGTCACACCCAACCCTCTGGGAACACACAAGGAGGTGTGAGAACACTATTGAAGTACTGTGTATATCATAATGAAGATTTAGAGTGAAGATGGTGTAGTAGTCAGACAATGAAATCATGCAAGGATTTCCTTAACATTTCTACTGTCGATAGTTGTCGAAAATTTAATAGTATAGTATTTCATCACCGCGTAAAGTGACTATTCCTAATAAAAAGCAAGTAAGTAAAGTGACACGAATTTAACTCGTGTGATGCACTATATTTTTGTAGTATTGCAACATTGTAATTTAACAAACTAGAAAACGAAAATACTTTTCATCTAAGGGTAACCTCTCAAAACGACTTCCAACTTATTTTCAATTTTGCTGAAGCAAACAAGTAGATGTTTAGTTTCAATCATTTCGTCTATTACGATTGTGTTAGTGTACAAGAATACAACAATAAGCTACAACCGATTAAATCAATCGATAAATAATTTAGAAACATGCAATTGCTTGCAATCGAAGTTTACAGCTGTTTTGCTCCCTAGCGAGAAAAAAGAGATACTTTAGACTCGCAACGCATGTATTAAAACGGTGGTTTTTGCTGCAGTATGACGATACAAATATTGTAGACTTTGCATACTTAGACTTTTACTCCCGAGTGCCTAAAAAGACTTTTCACTCCCTGGGGAGTTAACAAGCTAATGCAATACATGCATTAAAAACATATTTTTTGCTGCAGTATGCCGAAAATAAAATGAACGAACATGAACGTGATTCAAAGTAGACTCAAATTCACTAGTTTTTTTTTTATTTTCCTATCCCGCTGCTGTACCCAACCAACATCTGATACCTATACCTATATGATCCACAAAACAAGAGTAGGCTATGATGTTGTTAAATAGGAACAGATTGAAATTTTATGGAAAAATCTTTTAAAATATATCTTCGACGCACATTATAGATATAAAAAAACTCACGAAGTTTAGGGCAAAACTAAAATACGTCTTAATCAACTTCGTAGTTTATACTCTAATGATTCATTGTCTCCCTCTCATTACAGTATTAGAATAATAGAATGTAAATTGTAATGATGTAATTTTAATAATCCAGTAAAACTACGATTAGTCATATAGTTTTGTGCGAATGTAAACAAGAATTCATTTTCTTCATTCATTCATTTGTGAATATACTCATTGAATATGATAACTGGTACCTAGGCCTAAATGTTTCGTTCATTGTCATATGTTAGTTCACAACTAAAACATACCCCATCTGCGTAGGCTATTAGCTTGTATTGATGTTGCAGATCCCCGGGAAGCGAAACAATCCAACAGTTGGCCAACAACCAACTCCAAACATTACCTTACCAACTGCCAACCACACGGTTGCTACTCGACTTGACAGGTTGGAACATGTATCATGGGTCGTGACTCGTCTACATCTCAGTCAGAAATAGAGGAACTCGAATTTAATTATTGTAGAAGAGGATTTTAAAAGATTTTTTCCTTAAATGTATAATTGGATGTAAAAAGGTTTATTAAAACTAAAGTTTGGTTGCAGTGAATTTTTACAATGATATGAATGTACTTTTTCGAAAGTGGTACTGCTATATTTATTTTTCCTTCGTAGAGATGTTAGCTAGTCTTTAAATTGAAACACACTGTAGTCTTAAAATAAGTATAAGTTTTTTCATGTAAAAAGCAAAAAATACTTGATGGTCATAGACATAAAAGGCATAAAATAAAAGTTCCTTGTGCACATCATGTCAATTATTCTGACTAATCTGTCTGGTTTTACTACAAAGAAGAGACAAAATAAATACAAAACACAAATACAAATTCCGATCACAATATCAAAAACAATAATCACGTTTTATGTAGAACTGTCAGAATCATTGCCAATGGGGAGAAAATCAAAACCAGATAAACTTCGAGAAACTTCTTCATCTTTGGGAAATCAAAATTACTTCCACTTATCGCAGAAAACTATTAGCGGAGAGAAACTTTATGAAAAGGGGGAAACGAAGTGATTAAAGAACTGCTGGCTAATAGGAAGAGTTAGGTGGATTAAGTGCTTTCCTCTGTTCCGACATTAACTTAATCCCTGGTACGATCCATTCTCAGGGTAAAACTGAACATTAGGTACTCGAGATCCGTGACTCGCCCTGAAACTTGGCCACTTAATCTTGCTTAAACATCTTATATTAGATAGATATCTAGTAATAAAACATTTTGTGATTATATTTCTGGGTATTCTAAAGTTGGGTTTTATTGAAGATGATAAAAAACACTAAACAGGCTCTTTAAATCAGTTTAAATTAATCAATTGAAAAATACATTTTTTGGTTCAAGACTACTGTGGTTGATATAAAATTGAGTTTGATTACTCAGCACTGTTTTGTTTATCTATTTAAACGACAAGCAACAAATTTATACAAGCAGCAAGTTGCTAGATATTTCCCATGGGGTATCAATTAAGTGAGTTTCCAGTAAATGAAACCGGTCAATTAAACAATAAACAGGGCCAGCTATTGAATATTTATTCAAAATGTTCTTTATAAAACGTTTCATAAACTGTAGCTTTATCGGGGAGGTAGGGTCTTCGAAGCGGTTTAGTAAAGATTTTTTGCAAATAATTTGCTTAGTTGAAATCCAGACGTAAATTTCAAAACTATTGACAACCTGTACAAACATCTTGGTCAAAAAGGCAAAGATTTTTAAAGCACATACAATCATTGGTAGCTGAATATGTTATTGATCGGAGCAAAGCGAAGCATGTTGTACCATTGAATGAAAATTGTTACTGGTTTTGAAAATCGATTCATGTTGGGACATGTTGGAGTGCACTGATATCGACTAAATGTATTTATTAATTATTTTTAATTTATTTACTAGATTCATATTATTATGTAGGTATGTAGGAATTAAAAAAAAACCATTTGAATAAGATGACTTACTCACCATCAAGGGTAAATTAATATTTCTCCAAACAGGTTGTTAAAATAATAAAAACCGCACACTGTACATTGTACAAGTAGACTTCTCCTGTTGTAAAATAATAACCATGTTTTGATGCGTGTTTGATGTGAAAACGTATAAGTTGGTCGCTTTTGACGACCAACTTGACAAACTATTTTTATTAAAAAACAAATATTCTTATGGAAATAGGGATTGAAACAAATAACTAGCCTATATATAAGCTGTTTTTAACTAATTTACTCATTGTCAAATCATAGGTTATCAGAAACACGTGGTTTTACATTGACTTTAAACAGTGAAATTAAACATTTAATCCTTATAATTTAAACTTTAAATTAAACTTTATTTAATTTATAGACATTGTTTGAATGTCTCACTTCTTTAAAAATCATGGAACACTCAACTGGCTTTGACTGATCTGAAAGCAACCATAGTGTAATTATATATTCCCTAGTTCTCAAAATTATCTAACTATATTGATATGGTATATTGCTATATTGTATATGGTATTTGTATATGGTTGTGGCTGTGTAACTATATTGTAAATTATTATGCTAAAAAGTAATTACAACAGAAGGAAGAAGCAAATGAGCTTGGTTTGAATGAACCTGCAGAGCGAGATATCACGTATACAAGAGCAGCAACTGTGAAAAAGGAAGGCAACTATTGTGATTAGAACAGACTCCTACGGGCGTTTTTGTTTGCTGCTATTGTACTATTGTGGTCCAGACATTGTCCTCTGTGATGATGGGGCCAGCTTGCAATATTTACATTGCAGTTTAAACTGTCATCAGACAACAAGTTGTAGAATGGTTCTCTCGATAAAATGTATAATGTAGCTCATAAACCGATGCAGTTTGTAGGATTGTTAATTGTTTACTGTCAATTAAAAAAATTAAAGGTTTAAATAATATTTTTTATGTCCCAACTTCACATCCTAGGACGCTAGGTTCTAGCCCGGAACTGTTTTACGCATTACTTAAGACTAGTCCCAGAGGTTCGTGGCATTATCAAATGGATAATATCCATTGGTGATTGGCGGGAATTGAACACGAGACCTCGGGCTTTAAAGCTCCTTGCTCTAACACTAGACCAGCTCAATCCCAATTGGTCCAGAAGACAACTAATTCTAACCTTCCTTTAAAATATAGTCTAAATATCATGAATTTTATTTTGATTTTTTTTGTGTGTTTTACATCATTGACTTTTTTAATTCAAAAGGATCCATACAAATCCTGATGTATACGTATAAATTGACGTCTAGTCATGTATAAATTGACGTTTTTTTCATACTACATTGATAACTAATAGCCCAACCTGGGTCTAGAGGTGAATTCACAGGATTGAATCGGCAATTTGTGGGCGAGTCTTAATCACTCAGCTAACCAAACACTGTATAGAGGTTGGACGGATTCAATGCTACTATCCTGCAAGTTACCAAACAACCGTGATTTTAGTTTTTTGTATTAAACTTAGGTAAACTATGAATATTTTATCCCTCTATTTTCAAAATAAAAGGTGATAAAAACCGTGTTAATCTGAAAATACATTCTCATGAATTAAAAACACAATCAGTTAGCAAACAAAACATTTGTTGTCAACATAGTAAGTTATCCAAGATAAAAATCTGCCAGGAGAACTAAGTCCATTCAAATGAGCGGATTACATATTCTGTGTGAAAAGCAAGTTGTGGTCTCTACTGGGGAAGTAGCAATATGAATATTTTAAACTTTTGCTTTGTCACTCGACCTATCCGTTACAGGTTTGGTTTAAAAATGTTTATAAGTGACCCGGGTCCTTTGAGCCTTTTATTTACGAAAAGTGCACAAAGTAGGTTTACGTCCAATAAACTTCAAAAATATTAGCACTAATTGTTCCATTGGGACCTAGACCAGGTACAGTAGAATAGTTGTGAGTTAAAGCAAGGAAGATGACATGATCTACACGTCGTGAACTAGCTTGCTTGGTTGTGACGAGAGCTCAATGTAGCCTTAAATTTAAGAACAAACCTACTATATTTTTCTGACAGCTAACTATCTGTTACTATTTTGTGGACAACGAGAAAACTACGTTTGTATCAACCATGTAAAGATAAAAAATCAATTGTTTAAATAACTAGGAAAATTCAGTCATATAAGGAATGTTTTTTTTTCAAAATCTTAAACATAAAATACCAAGTCCACTATAAATATTCTAGAACATGCTGTAAAATTTTAAATCGTAATCAGGATTTACATGAAAATACATATTTATCTGTGTTCAAGAGACGTAGGCTTGACAGAAGCCCTGAACAAAGCTGTTAAAAGATTATTGATCAATAAATGTGTTGGTTGATGGCGCTTAAATGAGTTTTATGTCTCTTGGGATCTTCAAGGCTGTACAGTTGCAATAAATGTAACAGTTAACCTCAAAAACACCTAAATATAACCTTGCAATTGTTGTGTTCATAGAACACAAAATAGGGTTTACTTTACTTCCATCAAATAGTCTAATGATTATTAAATTGAATCAGCCTACATGTTTATCTGCAATGCCTGGATATTAGAAGCTAACAACTTTGGCACACTTATAATTAAAATATGCAGAGCATAAACATAAACACGATACGACATACACAAATATTTCGATGGTATTGCTTAATTACTATATTCCGCACGGAACGGGTTTGGTAGCAAAGGTGTGATTGTAGAAAGGAGTTAGATAACTTAATATAGCTACTGTTTTTTAGTCTGGATCATCAATAAAACACCCTAAGGTCGACGATAACCTGGTGTAGTTTTAAATTTTGAACCATAAAATGGGGAAATAAACTCTTGACCTTCCTTAAGAAACCAGCGAACGTTAGTTAGTAGGTTAGCACTTTCACATTTCGGTGACCAGCTAGGCCCACAATGACTAAAATATTAGATTTTTTTCTCATACTGCCCCAAAAACAGCCGACATAATAAATACGGCGGGTGTAAAGTGGCTCTTTTTCTGCCTAGAGAGTAAACACCCGCTGTTATAAACAATTGCACGTATTGAAAGTATTTTTATAGACTGTTTAATCGTTTGTGGTCTATATTTACATTCTTGTCAGTAGTTAGCCATATTGATAGTAAAATGTACACTAACACAATTATGATGAAAAATACAAATATTGAGTAATTATGAATCATTTTACACATGCATAATACAAGCGTTGCGAGTCAAAGTTGCTTTTTTTATCCCTGAAGAGTAAAAGTCAGCTGTTTTAACTTGGATGTTGTAAGTAGTTGTAAGCAATTGTATGAATCGAAAGACTTAATTGATTGTCTAAATATTGCAAAATGAAGAAAAATGTAGTTTATCACACGGGCAAATAGTGTCTTTTCAAACATCACTTTTTTTTGAAGTTGAGCTTGGTTCAGAAAGAGTCACTTTACGCTCTAGGGATGAAACATACTTTTACAACAAACTAGCCAACACAAGTAGACTTCTTATCCCATTGTAAAATCAAAAGATAATTTTTTAATTCTTAGTTTATATTTGGCAACATTAGGCGCTAGTGTCAACGGATTTTTAAAATATTATTTCAGGGTTAATAGTTATGCTTTACTGTGTGGTTACATAACTAGGGGATAAGTAATTTTATTTTTCGAACGGGTAGCCTCCGGATTATCAAGATACAATTAAAGTGGTTTAAATACCTGTAAGATTTATAAACCAAATGGTTGTGTTACAACTAGTTTCGGCTCACAATGGAGTCTTCTTCAGGGTTTCCCAAGGATATCTTCGCATCTTCAGATCGTCTAAGTTCATAAACATTTTCCAAAACATAGAACACATATATATTTTGTAAATATTTATGAACTTTGACTACCTTCAGAAGAAGCGACAATGTCCTTGGAAAAACCTGAAAAAGGCTCCATTGTGAGCCAAAACTAGTTGTAACACAACCATTTAGATTATCAACATTATATGTGTTTAAACCAATTTAATTGATAGGTCATTGTAGAAACAAATCTAAACAAAGCACGATCCCTAGCGGAGGAACTAAAAAAGGACTGTCTCCAGCTTGTTCATAAGGATGACAAATCTAAAGAATGTCTACGTTGCCGACTTTACTTACCTGACATTTCCCATCAATGCACATGTCCAAGCTACCCGGTCTGCAGCGAGTGCCATCTCTGACACTGGCAGCTAGTTGAGACACTTCTCCGGAGTGAGCTCTACATATGAGAGCACAGGGGTGGTCGTCGTCGTAGTGCGGGGTCCACGTCAGCAGCTGGCCACGGTGAGGAACACTGTTGAACGAGGCACACTGCAACTCTCTGAACTCTACGTTGTCAGGGCACGGCTGTAACAGACCAAGGTAATTTGAACTAACATAAGTAATTTTTCATAGTCTAGACTTTACCTCAGCCCGGTCACGATCGATTGTCAATGTCCCTTCGTGTTTCCGTGCTTTTGTAATGTGTGTCCGTTCCGTGTATCGTGTTTTGTATGTGTTTTATTTATCGAACTCTGTTTTAACGACCTTCGAATGAAGTAATCACTTGACACCTTGAGGCCTGAAGATGGTTCAAAACAAGAACCGAAACTAGTTGCCTAAATCAGCAACAAAGGATTACTACATGCAGGTATTGTAAACCATTTTAAGTAATTTTTCTTATAGTTTCGTGACAAAGCTGTTCGTAACATCCTATTTTCGTCCAGGGCTTAGATTTAACCTTACCTAAACCGTGTTATTTGGCGTTTGAAAGACTAATTATTTATATTCTTTATAGTAAACTGTAAAAAAAAATATAATGTGTAACGTGAGCGCAAAGTTTCTTTGCTGCACTCGAGAAACCTTTCACGCTCACCTGCAGCTCGAGCGTAAACGTTTCTGTAATGTGCAGCAAAGTGCCACTTCGCACACTAGTTACACAAATAACTATTGTAGGACTAATATTACGGGGTGAGGCAATGAAAGCGCCCCAATTTATAAATAGTATAAACTCAATAATATTCACCCTATTATCGATAGGAATAATAGCACATGAAAACACAGCTTATCTTTTGCCATTTTTAAACTTAACATAGTAATTTTTATCATGTCTTGAAAAAAAAATCCTGCAAGTGACTTTCTTGTCCTACTTGACATTCCTTTTTAGTCACTTGAACTCCATGAAATACTCCTCCGGCATTTCTTCAGGAATCACTTAAGTTTTTGGACCATTCTTAGCTTCGGTCCAAGCAAATCTGTGGAGTGACTTTAAAATGTCTCGAACTTCAAGTAGTTTATCAGAATAACCCCCAACCCCCCCACAAAAAAGGAGTCAACGTAAAGCTTTCAACAACAAAAGCTTCCTGGATAATCTCTTTGGACTTCGAGTTACTGCGACTAGCACTCTTTCAACATTTGCTTGTGTACAAAGAGTTTTGCGGCACCCACAGATTTTTTTAAGGTTCAAGCCGTTATCCTAAATAAATTTAAACAATTCACCAATCTGAAACAGCGCTATGTTGACAAAAGATGGAATGTCGTCCAAACAATCTCTAGATTTTTGTACAGTAATCACTATTTTAAAAATAAGTCTCCACATTAAAATCTCAGTGTTAATAGCCTCAGGCATAATGTTTACTAGAATGGCATAGTTTAATTGATGGCATGAGCACAGCTGTTCATTCATTGTTGCTTTACTTAGTGTGTGACAACGAAAGAAAATTGGGGTGCTCTCACTGCCTCACTCTGTATAATAAAGGTTCTTGTCTCTTTGTTGTTTCCACATTTTTTTCTTTAAGGAACAGCGCTAACTCTGGTATTTATTCATATATTCATAAAAATTCGTTATTTTAAATTTTAGCGCATTAAGAATACAATTTGCAAAATAAAGTTAGGCAACACTAAGCATGGATGGGGAGCGAGCTGGTCTAGTTGTTAGTGCATGGAATTTCGGTCACTGAGGTCACGGGTTCAAATACCACTAAATTGCCAATGGATTTTAGCACGTGATATGTGCCAAAGCCTGAAATGTGAAAAACAATATCGGGTTCGTGCCTTGCGTCCTAGGAAAACAATACTAAGCACGCATAGTAATAACAAACAGAAAGTGATGAATAACACTAACTAGAAGTTAACTTCAGTTAACTAATTTAGATAGTGTTAGTTAACTATTGTATTTTGAGTGGCTTTACTCAGTGGGATTAATTCATTGATGAATTCGAGGAATTGCTAAACTATAAATAGCAAGATTCCATCAATCAATGCTTGTTCAGTGAGCGATGTGCGAATGACAGTTCGTTTTATGTGTGGGATTTACAATCCAAATACTTCTAAAAATACTGGACTATTTGACTTGGTGGTTTCTATTATATGTAAACAGTATTACTTTTTACAAGGATAAAACACTCACATTAATACATAATTGAGCTAAAATTGATTTAAATTGCACAAGATTGAATATTTTAAACTCTTGATGAATAAGAATGAAAATCCAATAGTAAATGTCGGAAAGATTTTATAGTGTGAAATTCGTAGCGGTTAAAAGAGAATATAGCGTGATGGAAGCATGGAATAAGAAAAAGAAATATTTGTGTACGAGAATAGGAAATCTGATAAACAGAGATATGTCTGACGGCCAATTTGAGGAAAGAAAGATCTTACTGTGATACAGAGCGTATGATATCCTCACGATCATTTGGGGATTTATATGAGGGTTTCTTGACGTAAAAATCTTATACAAAACATATAAGTAGTAACATTAATTTATAATGTCAAAAATTGTATATCGGTTATAAATAGTTCATTTATGGTGTTTGTATCATATTTTTAGTAAAAATTAATGGAAAGTAAATAAAAGAAACGTCTTATAACACTTAAAACATATATTTACGCTTATACTCAAAAGACGGTAAATATACAAAAAAGATGGTAAGTGGTGATCGATTTCGATTGGACACTCCAATCATCATCAGACCCAATAGGCGAAATGCATCTTTTTGTATATTTACCGTCTTGTGAGTAACAGTATAAGCGTAAATATATGTTTTAAGTGTTATAAGACGTTTCTTTTATTTACTTTCTGTAAATTTAATAACACGTACAATGCTGATCAATAATGTTGTTCAAAGGTTTATTGCGGACATTTTCCATCACGAATGTAAAAAAACAATACACAACGTTTCGGGGTCTGGAATCTGATCCCGTCTTCAGGTGAAAAAACTTAACTAACACATTACAACTAACAATACACAAACGCCCAACCTAAGTTGGAATACACTACCGAGGGTAGTACCTAGTCAAAAAATATGCATATAAAAATATGTAAAAATATGTAAAAATATGTATTGTTAGTTGTAATGTGTTAGTTAAGTTTTTTCACCTGAAGACGGGATCAGATTCCAGACCCCGAAACGTTGTGTATTGTTTTTTTACATTCGTGATGGAAAATGTCCGCAATAAACCTTTGAACAACATTAACTCACCATCACCAACAATGAACTTCAAACAAAGAACTGATCAATAAGTTATTTAAAAATTAATATAAAAGGAGTTATAATATTATTTGGAATATTATTTTTTTTATTTAATAAATAAAAATGAGATGTGTAGTGTACTTATTATAGATCTTGACTAAATTATAACAATGCAATTTAAAATGAAGTCTAAAAAGTAAGCGAACAAGGAACAAGCTAATTATATATATACAAAAATCTTCTAAATAAGTACAAGTGTAATTGTTAAAATTTGAATATAAAATACTGCAACATATTCAAGACACAATTTTATAACAATAGAATTCTAATTAACAAAATTAAAAAATATTTTTGTTTGAAAAACTGCGACGTTAAGAGATTAAATGTATATTTTCGTAAAGCGAGAAATTCCGCCGCTGAACGGAACTCAAAGCTGTCCTCTTGATGCCAATTATAAATTAACTTTTCTGATTTATCAGTCCATTTAATAAAGAAGAGCAGTTCGCTTCAATTGACTTTTTGTCATCTTGACGTTTTACGGTGAAATGAAAAATTAGGAATTTTATAGGTTTATTTAGTTACAATAATTCTCAGATATACTTTTGAATATTTCAAAATTATTAAACGCTTGTATAAGTACTTAATTTTATTTCCATTTATCACGAACAATCATCGGTAAGTATCCTATAATGTATGATAGATTGAAACGTGAAATAACGGAGAGTAAACAAAAATATTATTTTACTGATGAAATATATAAAAATACAATATATTGTATGATAAAAAAAACATAGTTTACACTGTAAAATTTTTCATATAAAGGTTTTAAAAATGGATTAGAAAGCTCCATACTACACTTTGACACTAATGTGTTGTTCAAAAACTTACCCAACCATTCCGTACCCCATACAGTAGAGTATTCCACAACACGATTATTTTTCGTACCGTTGTAATCTTCCGTGCATCCAAAATAGCACCATACTGTAGTATTGCACAAAACCATACAGTATTCAACCATTCACTACACCCAGTGTCGTATACATTACACTATGTTTGATCAAACCTTACATTATTTTACCACACCATCCAGTAGCGTTCTTTACCATATCGTACCTTTTCTTGAATTCATAATTGTTGTATTATTCCATATTATACCGAATACATAGCATGGTGTTCTACCTAACCATGCTGTTTAGTAACACTACCCATAACCGTATACAATAGTCCCACTAAGTATACACTACATTGAAATTGGGCAGAATGTTATATACTGGAAAATGCTTTAGCGTACCTCTCCTCAATATTATGTGCCATATCTGACCACACAAAGGTCCCACATCCAACTACACCTTTGTGTAGAATCCAAAACCATATATAATACAACATTGTTTTGTGTGCCACCCTAACCGACTTACCTGCATATTGCAGATCTTATAGCGCACGGGAGACCCCTTGCACCGTGACACGGAGTTGCAGGATCGAATCTGGAAGATGGCGCCTCCATCGCAAGTTCTGGAACACTGTGACCAGGCTGACCATGCTGACCATAACCCGGGGTCATCATCCTCCTGGAGACAATATGGAGGTCAGAATATGGCACAGTGGAGAGGCTAAGGTTTGGAGGGACATTGCAGAGATGAAGGGGGGGACTCAATGTGATGGATTAAAGAACCTTCTGCAATGGTAAAATAGGATACATTAAACACCTGAATAGAGTACACTATCACTGGACCTTTCACAGTATCATTTTACAGTCCAGTCTGGCGAATAAATGTGTCAGATAAACCAAAAAATTCTACAAAGTACTAACTCACATCCTAACATAGTGTTTTCGTGAAACATTTTATTTTTATTCCAACTATGGGTCAATGTATTTTTTACACGTGAAAAAGGTTATGATAAAATGTTCTAGTTCAAGTATATTTTCAAAATACATAAAATACAATTGGTGATATGCAGGCCTACTTTACTTGTAAGGAAAAAATATAAATATACGTTATGCATTCTTTAGTGACCATCCAATAGTTTTTCACATAACCGTTAAAAGGCAAATTCTATGTTGAATGAAAATGCAAATATTTCGTTATCCGTTGGTATTTTTACGAACAGTAAACATAAACAATAAAGACAACTCGCACAGAAAAGCTTGTACAGCGAGTTTCGATATTTACAGTAACTCATAAAGTGGTCGTGAACGATGCTGATCTGTATCCTGGCGAACAAAACTGATAATATTTTATAATTCAAGATTTTATGCCTATTAGCTCGTAGATAGATGTTCAGTATTTTTTAACCTTTTGGTAAAATAAAATAAAATAATTATAGTCGCATACCTTGCATTTCATTCCCTTCAAGTGCATAGAGTATTCGAATATTTCAAAGCTGTAATAATTGTCTACTATTAGGGCAGATGGTATGAATCAGAAGATCACCCACTAGTTTAGCCTAAAGGAATGTCACTAGCTTCTTGATGTTTGAAACTGCAACCATACTATTTTATCATTACCATTGTATTCAATAGTACTAGAAAAAACAATGCCATCTAAATTATAAAGCTATGCTCTCATTCATTTCACAATTACTTCAATTTCCACTTGCTCTCACCTTAAAATACACGACTTGTTTCCAATTTACCCAATATTAAAAATCTAGCTTTGGATTCATCTTTATTTGCTTCAAATAATATCTCTGACTATAGCCAGAAAGAGAGACAATAAGTGATATTTTATTCATCACATTTCCAGCTCTAATTATCAAGCGGCGTACCTCAGGGATGTGACATCGCCACTGTGTTATTTATTCAGACAGACGCTCAAACGTTCCTCATTCTGTTATGACTTGTGTCTATTGTAATATAAACAATGAGGATAGAAATAGGTATACAAACAAGAATCATTATTGTTATTTTTTGGTGTAATTTTCCACCTGATCTAAAAATGCAGCATTTAGTTGCGGGAACCCTCTGGGCAGTGTCTTCATAAATTTACTTCATATCCATATTGATTCATAAAAACCCATACTCGCTATTCCTCTGCTGTTTTTTGACTGTATATTACAGTGTATTGGTTTTTGTATTTATAATTCTAAACCATCCAAGACCGTCCAATGTGAAAAGTGCAATATTTTAAAGAAACTAGGGCCTAATTAGAGTTAAAACCCGTTCTGGTACCATACGCTTAATGTATATACAAATACATGTTCTCCGCTTTAAATGATGGCTGCAATAGCAACAGACAAAGCATTGGCTACAATGGGACGATCCAAACAACTCTTTGATGCTGTATTAATCAGAAGCTATTCTCCTCTATTTTACATTTTATGCTCCCGTTCATATTTTAATCCCCCGCTTCGTCCTAGCATGCAGTACAGAAAGCATATTTTTGTTGATGCCCATATTTTCTTTCATGACATAGAGCCCTGATTACTAAATTTACACACTGTTGGTAATTGTTGTCAATATTTTCTGACACACATATTTGACTAAATATTGCTATTAACCTCAATTTTACTTGTGTAAGTTTCGAAAATAAAAATTATTAACCGGTAGGAAAAACATACTGAAATTTTACTGTAATAAAATAAACATAAACTATTCCCTGGCATTTTTATTGGTAAAAGGATTTTTTTATATACGGCTTAACATTAGTTATATTTTTCATCGATGTTTTAAATTGAGTGTGAATGTAATATTTTACAGCCTGTTTGGATTAAAATAGAAAACGAATATTTTTTTGAAGTTGGGGCATGGTTTTTAGGTGTAGGTAGTATTTATATAGAGAGAAAAAAAACCCGTCCTTTTAGCAAATTTTCCTTTAGGGAACCAACTACAGTATTACTGCAGTCGACATGGAAAGACCTAGATGAGAAACCGATTTTCTTTTCATTTTGATACCCCCAGAGGCTAAAAACACAATTTGTTCAAATCTTTACGTCTTCATGGTATACATAAATGTCCACGAAGACTTTAATGAATTATTTTGGCCCGATTTTTAGGAAATTGGGCATGAATGTGTAGAACTGGATAAATAAGGATTAGCTCGCGAACCAGCAATATCGGGTCATAGGAACGGTGTTGGGCTATACATTGAAACAGTTTTTTTAATATTTAATATTTTAATCATATACATTCTCAATTTTCATTACAGCAATCGTGTAGAGCTTTGCATATTGTGTATTAAACCCTTGTTGTACGGAGAAAAGTTACGGAGAAAAAAAATGTAAGTCGCATTAACTATTAGAAATATTTAAACTAGGACTGGTTGGAAGTCCCTCGACCAGCTCATCTCTTTTAAAGCTTGTTTGTACAAGATAATCAGTAAAGAGGTCCTGATATACTTAATTATTCAATTCCATAATAGCTTCCTTAATAAGAACAACGTGAAACATACCGAACTTAAGATAGGAATGTCTGGAGTTATAAGAGATGGCGAGAAGATTACATTGAAAATGTAAATAGTTTTCTCCGAAAGTTTATAACTGACAAACGACTTTGGACTGTAATAGCGAGGAAACGTTTTGAATGACTTTGGAGTGAATGAGAAACGTTGGAAGTTCCAGCATTGAGCTTTGAAGTTGTTGTGTAAAATATATCCATTGTGTCTAGTTGTAAGTTTAATATCTAGTTTTAATAGATTTATGATGTTATGGAATAGTATTTAAAAAATCTATATCCATACAAACTGTATACTTAACGCAATGATATCTTTCTTGAAATCCAAATATTATTTAGAAATGTTTTAAGATATTGAATTGCATATCAAACCTAAAAAACTAAAAACTAACTATTAACTAAAAAATGGATAAAAAGTAAATTTAATTAAGTAAGAAACATACTTTGTTCCTAATAACCCGTTTGAATGCAAAGATCTTTATCTTCATTACGAGATTTAGAGAAGATTTCTTTCAACATTTGAATCCACAGTTAAGTTAAACTTTAGCGTGGTATATTTGAAATTCACATTCCATAGAGTTTTAAAGTGTAGTTTAGATATTTATTGTTACATTAATATTAACCAAAGTAATCATGCCTAAAGTTGAATACCATAGTAGGTTATACAAAGGACTAATTGATTAAATAATATCCATAACGTAATACCGGTATTTAATACATCCTATTATAAGTTAAAGTAAAAAATAAAAAAAAATAAAAAATAAAAAAAGCTCTACACCTAACTAATGAAACAAGTCTATAGATACTTATATTAAAAGGGGGTATTTATGATACTGTTTGTTAGGGCAAAAAACACTGGCAGATTATTATTGCATTGTTGATTTTCAAAACCCCATATGTTAAAACAAACAGTAGCATGCCACTATTCATGGTGATTTTTTTGTTCTTTAGCTTTTAAAGAATTCAATCAATAATATAAAAATTAAGGGAATTTGTTTCAACGTCATATTACCTGTATGATAGACTTTGGAACTTGATTATTGGTTCAGACTACACTTAAAAATATAAATAAAAACTAAACCAACCACTCATTCATTTAAAGAAATATTTTTTATCTTTTAAGCATTTATATTATTTCAAAATACCGTTAAATGTGAAAAAGAAAATAGTCTGGGTTATTTCATTGGCAGACACATTTTGCATGATATTTTAATGGAAACGAAAAACTATTGATGTCAATTTTTACAAAACATACAAGTGTAACATTCGTTTCGATGTAATTTTTACAATTTATTTTGAATTTAAAGTACGTCATGTATACAAACAATGTGTTAAACAATTAAGACACCATCATAGCGTAATGTGACTAACATCACTTGAAAAGATTCAGTTAATAGATATTGCTAGATATGTATTTGAAATAATTATTGTAACTGTAAAAAAACCCTACGAAATTGTATACATCGGGTTAATGTTAAAACTAAAAGACAATGTTCAGAGTTAAATTATATAATAGCCATGTTATTTCGTTACTTTACCACGTATAATACTAAAGTCAAAGAAGGGTTATTTTTAAATCGTATCTTAAGTTTGTTGTAATAAAACCACAATAGCAGAAAGTAACCTAGAAATATATTTTTTGAACTACACTAAAATACCAGATATCAAATAATTAATAATCAAAATAAAGTGCTATAAATTACCCAGAGATAATTTATAATTGATGCAACTATTTTTGTTTAGGTTATGTGTAGATATATACATACCAATTATTATTCAATTGAAAGACTATTCATGTACACAATGGTCCACAATTGAATAAAGAAATTATAATTGGGAAAACCGTCTTAAGAAATAAAATAAACGAACCAAATTTGTGTAAAAGCCTTAGCATAAAGTACATACCAACCCATATAAAAGTACAACTATGGTGAAACAGTTTTTGTGTTTTTTTACCCGAAAAGAGAGACAATAAGTGATATTTTATTCGTCACATTTCCAGCTCTAATTACGCAATTCAAAATCCCATTTAAGATAAATTCATAGAATTCTTACACATTTGAATTCCTAGGGAGATTTCTTTTAATATTTAAATGTAAAACCACATGTAAAAAACGTATGGGTAAATAATATAATATAAATCTCCGACAGCGATTTCAATTAGTTTTTTATGTAGTT